GTGGGAAACACTCCAAGCGATGGAGTGCGTGGCTCTGGTGGCATGAGTGGCTCCATTTAAGGCACAAGCTTGTACACAGCAAGTTTTGCCTTGAGGCTAACCGCAACACCACCGTTAGAGCCATCAGTGCCCGTATGGCCCATCGGCATTCTTCGCCTTATACTGGCGTGGATGCCCTGCGGAAACCGTTCGCGCTGAGCTCGACATTGATCCATCCCTCGACAAGATCTGAGCAAGACGGCGCATCAGGGACTTGCCAGCGCTTCTCCTGATCGGATCGAAGCGTACAAATTCACCTTTTCAGCGCTGGCAGAAGACACAAGCGAAAAGAGCACGTATGAGTTGCGATGGCTTCCAAGTCTACGCTGGCTGCTGCTCTATGACCTTGTGTGAAAGATGGTGGCAACTCCTGCTGCACGGATAAACTGCCATGCAATTGCGGGTGACATGCTTCGACGTCGCGATTCGCCAGCAAGCGCGGCGTGGCGACAGCTACTTACACTACCAAGACGCTCATACCACGTTGCACTATTCTGGAAATATAGCTCGTCATGACCAAAGCCGCTGTGGCTGCCCCAAGGTCATATGGAGGGTGCCATTCAAACGCTTCCGATAGCCTCCCGGCTCCGTCCTGACTGGCGTTTAGAAATTCCAGAAGGGCAGGGGCACGTGCCGAGCTTCGACGTCGTTCATGCGGCCTTGCTGGCTTATGTCCTGGTCCAAGACGGCATAGCAAGGCATCCTTCGCCAGGATGCACCGCGAGGGGGCTAAGCTTCGTCCTGATAAAAGAAGCTGATGTGTTGGCCGTGGCTCCGGATTGTCCCACGTAGGGGCCAATCCGCCAGCTGACACACGCTTCCCCGCAAGACGGGGGTGGCCTCGTCCCTTCTTTGACGATTCCCTGGCCGAGAGGTTTGCAAGGCGGAACAATTGGGATTGGCTAACTGGGTGCTCTTAGCGCGGCAACCATTTGTCTTCGGGCTGTATCTTTCTCGGCGGTGCGGGGGAAGCAAAGGGCAACTTGGCTGCAGCCCATCTCTCTCGGCTGTCTCCAAAACCGAGCAATAGTCACAAGATCGGCCGGGCCCTCGGGCTTAGGGCTAACTAAGCAGAGGCCCAAGGACACCGGGAGACTGACACCCTCTCATTCTGCGCCGTCACCGGGCATGGCCGCCTTGGCCCCCAGCACGAAGAGCAAAGGACAGCCCCTGTTCAGAGGGCTGAAGGCATTTGTGTCTTCCTGTACGAAGTATCGCTCCGCCGACTCATTTCTTGGCGTCATCAGCGAAAGGGGGGGCCCAAGGCTTATATGTAGCCGACCAGAGCGTCGGCTAGCGCAACGTCCCGTGCCACGCTCGGTTCGTGCTCGACACGTGGTGAAGGAGGACTTCCCCACGGGGTTGAGCCCACCTCTGCATCCGCTTGGAGACGTCGACAGGTCTACAGTTGCAACTTGAACCACCACGTCAAGCAACTGAGCTTCAGGATGGGAACGTCCCTTGCCCGAGCGCTGGGCCTTGTCCTGCTGCCATGGATGACGACAGGGACGCCCTCCCACCGAAGGGACCGCTTAGGTGCAACCCCAGCCCTGAAGCAGCAAAAGTTCCGGGCAGTGGATGCGCCGAGAACCAGAGAGTGCAACCGCACCACGCTGTGAAATGCGGAGACGCCCGGGGGCCTGCGTGGAGAGAGGTCACTTGGCGAGGTACGTGGAATCCCTCGCCTCCATGTATACCAGAGAAGGTTGACCATCAGGGGTAGAGCCAGCTCGACCCGCCGTGCCTCCGTCTCGCGCATTTCGCATAAGAGCCTGACAGCAATTGCCCGGTGTGTTCATCGAGAGAGATGTCGAGACTCGCTTCCCCAGCCTCTTGCTCGTACATGCATGCATGGCTACGCACGGGTTCCCCACGACGATCTTACGGCATGGAAGGGTTGGCGCCTAACCTTGTGCAGCGGCCCTGGGGTGTCGTTGAATATGCAGGTGTTGCTGGCAACTACGCCAGAAGCAGCAAGCTTCCTGATCTGCCCGCCTTCCATGCAGGACCGTCGTCTTAGCCTTGAATGAGGCTTTGCAGGGCGCTATCTCGACCACGTCTTTGGTTCACTTGCGTTACAATCTCACTTCCCATCCAAGACCAACAAGGCTCTATATTTCTGGCCCGAAGGTAGCCATCAGCGTCTTTGTTCCGACTTATACCCTTTCCGGGCCTTGTCGGATTCGCCGTCACAAGGGATAAGGTCCCGCATCCCGGGCGAGCGGGAAAGGAGTGCGCCTACCTGACCAACAGACCATTCCGAGTCCCCTGTCGCCCTTTACTCCTGGGAGTTCTGCCAAATCAGGTATCTTGACTCACTCGATACTTTTTCCAAGAATCGTACATGAGCTGGCAATACAGAGAGATTGCCCGAGAAGCCTCGTTTCAAGCCCCGCGGGTCTAAGCCGGAGAAGCCTTCGCCCCTGCTCCAGCCGGACTGCACCTTTGTCGCTATTTACCACCCAGGTAAATAGATGTGATTTCACAAGTCCTTGGCGAGCAGTTACCAACCGATTGGCGACCTTTATTGGATGAGCAAGAACTCATGAGCTTCGCACCGCAAATATCCGTGAAACCGGGGATTCGTTTTCATCCGAAGAAGTGCCCGACCTCCTTCCCTTCTCGTGATGGCACCTTCACTCTAGCATGTTTGGGCACATGTTGGCCTAAGGAACCACAGCAAACAGACGGCGGAGCTGCGAAAGGCAGTGCGGCTTTGAGCGCAACTTGTCTATCGTCCAGTATTTACACGGCCGAGGGAAGAGCCGGGGTGTGCGGAGTCACTTTGCGGACATTCCAGCGCCCCCCCCCCCACTCGTCCGGAACGTAAGAATCGAGGACAACCGGTGGCGAAGTAGTATTGCAGGACTCGAGAGGCCCCTTCGGGAAGGTATGGCGGGTCCCAAGTTGTCCCAAACTCAATCGACCTAGGAGCGCAAGAGGCGGCCGTGTAAACCCTTGGTGCCTCTCGATAACAGATCCCGCCAGGGCGGTCTGGAATCCCGGGCGGGCTCAACAGTACGAAATCGCTACGAGGAAACATGGGCTAGCGATGTGGCAATGCAAGGCTGTGGCCTCGGAAGGCGAGACACGGGTCTTGTCGGTGACCGTCGCATACACGCCCCCCAGGCACATGAAGCGTTGAGAACTGCGCCGTTGGACAATTTGTTGAAGCACCCTTCGGCCGTCGAGTTTCCGGAGACTACGTGGCATGGCGGAAAGCACGTGCAATATCACCCGGCGCACCGAAGATGCGATGCGGTGCGATATCTGGACTCGGGGATTCTGGACTCCAAGGTCTGCGTTCGTGGCGGCGTCGCCCCCAGATCTGCCCTGTTCTAGCGGAAAGCCAAGACGAGCGGCAGGGCAGCGGATCGGGTGGGCCAACTCTTGGGCCGCGGATCAGCATGTAAATCCTGGAGCGGTTCGCCGATGCCGAAAGCCGGGTGGCCCCTCTGCGGAGCGCTCTGGTCTTGTGACCCAGGCCGCATATACAACCTACTGTACGTGCCAACACGAGCAGCTCGACAAGCCTGCGACATGTCTGCTGCCATCGGCGGCCGCCGGACGCGGCTTTTGACGAGCGACGCAGACACGGAGGCCCTTCCACCAAGTGATGATGGCCTCGGGCTCGCGCTTACATCGCGGTCAGACTCGGAAAGGGGGTGGAGGGGATCTTTTGATTTTCAACGGACGCACAGCTACTCTCGGCACAGCTACGACATCCTCTATTCCCTGGGCCCGTTCAACTGTCGATTGCAACCGCTTAATCCGCCGAGTTGTCGGCGCGTCTTTGCCGCGATGCATGGTGGATGACCCCCAGATCAGGCGGATTACACGGCTTGTGGAGGCTTGGGTCGTCCCACGGAGCCGGCGAGGCACCCTCAGGCAGAGTGGCCTCGGGGGAGGAACCATAGGCATCTGCTTTCCCGAGCGCCCTCGTCCCTGGAGTATCGGCAAAGCTAAGCCCGGCAAGGAGGAAAGGGGCTAGACATCCCAAGGTTCCCCACGGGGAGGGCGATGCCGCCCCCCCCCCCTCCCTCCCGTTTTCTCACACTCGGCTTGACCCGAGGCCAGCGGGTTTTATAAAGCATCCACCCCCCCTCCCCCGCGCCCGCGCGCCCGCGCGCGACATCGATGCCTGGGAAGAGGAGGGATCGACCTCAATCACAGCATCGCCGCGCCGTGTCATTGGTGCCCGCATGTTGGCACCGTTTACTGCCGTATCGCCGGTGGCGCCTAGGGGAGGGGGCTTGGGGGGGACCGTTCATGCTGCGAGGCTTGGTCGTGAGGCTCAAGCCGTGGCGAGCATGGGTAGTGTCTTCCTTTGCTGCTTTTCTTGCCTCGTCTTCTTCCTTGCACGGCTCGACCTTTTACCCTGTAGCCATCCCCTGTGGAAATGTTTGTGGCTACTTGGACGTTTTGCGCACGCTCTCGAGGTGTCATCTGCGGGTTCGTCCAAGTAATTCAGTCGTAGTGGCCTCTCTTCCTTAGCCGCCTAGATTGGTCAAAGCAAAGAGTGCTGTGCAATCCCCTATTCTTGAAAAGAGCCCTTGCTGAGAGTTGAAGAAGTACGGAAACTCTTACTTCGCTCCCCATAGCCTTTGCGTGCCACCGTACCCATGCTCGCATCATCCACCGCAGCAGGACAGAAGTGATCCCACCACGCAAGCATCGATGAATAGCGAAGGAGTAGTCCTTCTATATTCTCATCTAAACAAACAAGATGCTCCTTTCCAGAAGACAGAGCCTCGGCGGATGATATTCTCAATCCAACATGCCCTCGGCATGTAGCGGCCACAAAAAGACACAAGGAAATAGCAATTATATACACGTCTGAAAAAGGGTTGCCGGGGTCGACTGCTCGCAACGACGGGTGCGCCCTCTCTTTATCAACGCCCATGTACGTTAGTGCCCCAATTATGTCCTGCAATTAGGAGGCCAGCCCACGAAGCCTCGCTTTAGATGGCAGCCGCAAAGATGGCGCCCACGACCACGGCGGCCATTGGTGCGCGCCACGCAGTAGCGCCGGCCGTCACCATCGGCGGGCTGTAGCCCCCGGGGCCGCAACTGACGCAAGAAGCAGTTGGCTTGGTCACCATGCTGATGGTGCCGGGGACGTTGTTGACGGCCTGGTTGGGAGGCACTTGCGCGGGATAAGTCTCGACGGGACGCGACTGAGGGGAGATCTCGAGAGGCGTCAACGGTGCCGGGAAAGAAGCCTGTTCCGGAGGGTTCTGGACGGGAAAGTGGACGTTCTTGGACGGCGGCTGAGCGGGAGACGTTGGGACCGAAGTCACAACGACCGGAGGTGGCATGCGGCAGTCGGTGCAGCCGGGGACGGGTGTGGGACTAGGGCCCGTGGTCATGGGCTTAACAGTGACGATGTCCGTCGTCGTAATCTTCTGGCCGGGCACGCAGCCGTGCTCGCCCTTGGTGCAGGTATGCGTCCGGGGAATGGTCCAGGTGGCCGTGATGTCGGTCCACGGCTGTTTGGTGGACGTGAGAACCTCGGTCGTAGCGTAACCCTTGCCACAGTCCTGGCCGTGGCAGTCGGTCACGGTGTACGTCTTGGTGGTGACGATGACGGACGTGATAATGGTCGTCGAGAGAGCGGCGGTCGCACTCTGGGATGGGCACCAGGTTGTCGTGCCCGTGATAGTTTCCGTGGTGACGGAGTCGGCAGGGCAGTCGGTCACGGAGGGAGGGCAGGACGTGACGGCGTATGTGCGAGTGCTCGTAAAGGTGGAAGTGTACGTGAGCAGGTCCGAAGAGTAGGTGGATGGGCCCGAGTAGTTGGGCAGTGCCGAAGAAGAGGTAGACAGGTCCGGGTCGGAGTCGCTGGGCAGTTCTGAGTAGGTGGACGGGTCCGAAGAGTCGTTGGGCAGGTCCGAGGGGTTGGGAGGCAGGTCCGAGGAGTAGGTGAACGTTGACGGGTCCGAAGAGTCGCTGGGCAGGTCCGAAGAATATGTAGGCAGACCGGAGGCGTTGTACCAGCTCGAAGTGGACGAGCTCGCGATGGGCCGAGAAGTGATGTCGGCAGGCCTGCTAGAAACGGTGCTGGTGATACCGCCGCGGCCCTTGGTGGAAGTCAAATTGGAGATGGGCGCCGAGGTGGGACGGGCAGACGACGGCGTTGTCGTGTACTGGGCACCGCACTCGCCGACGACGGAGGGAACCGAGTCGGGACCCTTCCCGATGGCGACGAGGTGGGAGCCGCAGTCCTCATTGTTGGCCACATGAAGGTTGCGGTTGTCCCAGTCGTACACGACGTAGGCGGCACGCAGGAACGTGTCACCCAGAACGGGGAAATCTAGAGTTGGTCTCTCGTTAGCACCGAGAGGTACTTTTCCCGCGCAATTCAACCCCTTGTTGCCTCCCTCTCCGCTTGCCTCCGAGTCTCGGTAGACGATAAGACTTGAGGACTCACCATCATCGCGGGTGACGCCGAGCACGCACACGCCATTGGCGGACTGATGCCAGATGAAGTCGTTGTACGGGACTTTGATGACCGTCTTGCCAAACTTGAAGTCGACACGGCCCTTGGAGTTGCCGATGGAGCATGGAACCTCGTACAGGTTGGTGCCCTGAGCAGGGGGCTTGGCCTCGGGGAAGGCGGCCAAGATCTTGTCGAAGATTGCGCTGGGGAGGGCACTGACAGTGTAGCCGCTGTCTAGCAAGACGGCCTGGCCGTTGGGCTTATCGAAGGCGTTGACCACGGAGCCGTTGGGCTGAGTGATGGAGATGCCGTCAAGGTAGACCCAGTAGCGGGTCAGGCCGTCGGGAGACTGGGCGGCGGGGACAATGGGCCGCTTCTCGAGAGGACCCGAGAACTTTTTGGTGTCGAGGCCGCCGAAGACAACGGAGCCACGCTTACTCTCGATGGAGCGGATGTCGAGGGAGAAGGCGCGACTGTTGGTGAAGCCCTGCGTGGCCAAATTGTCGATGACGGTGGGGTAGTGGCTGTTCCAGCCGTCGAGGTTTGGGCCGGCGCCGAGGATGCCGGTGACGGCGAACTCGGACGCTGTGGCGACGCCCAGGAGCTGCTGGCTGAGCTTGGAGGCTGGTAGCAAGGGCTGTCAGTTTGGCCTTGAGATGGACTTGGTGCATAAGGCAGTGAGGAGTTGCAAGGATGTATGGGTATGTGATGTGAGGTGCATGTAAATCATTATGGATATACAAGGTTAAGAGTGTGTGAGTGAGAGAGAGTGAGTGAGCGAGCATCATGTCCACTTACAGCCAATTTGCACATAGTCGTAGCCGTACTCGAGGTTGGCAAAGCCGGTACCGTAGTTGATGGTCGAGTTCCTCTTGACGTCTACAAACGTCTGGGAGCCGTTGAATCGGCCAAAGTTCTGGCAAAAGGCCGGGTCTGCCGATTTGCTGCAGGTTGGATTGACCCAGAGCTCGTCGGAGCCCGTGTCGAAGTTGACGCTGACAGCCTGGGAGGGGGTGCCGAGCTTGACCTCGATGGAGTAGAAGAAGCCCAATTTCCGGGGAGCGAGGCCAACGTCGTTCTGTCGGCGGAAGACGCGGTCTTTTGCAGGAGCGCCGTCGACGACGGTGATGGGATAACGGATCATGCCGGGCATCTCGACCATCTGGTTGTCGGCGGGGATGCCGCTGAGGGCATGGACGACAAGCGGCAGGACCGCGAGGGGCCAAAGAGGGGCCATGATGATGGCCTGGCAAGCACTGTTTCTCTCCTTTTTCCGTCCTGTACCCTCCTTTGCCTATTCTGCCGGCGTAATGAGTGACCGGCGGACGAATAACAAGATGGACACCAACGTGTCAAGCCTAGGAAACAGGAAAAAAGGAAACAAGTAAATCCAAGAAAGGAAAGAGATCTATTAAAGGACTGTGACGAAGTAGAGAATGACCAAAGTTGGAAGACAGACCGGGGGGGGGGGAAGAGAGGGGGGGAAGGGAATGGGAAAGAGAGAGGGAAAAGGGGATCACCAAAGGGAGCATGCCGCCACACAGGAGCCACGCTGTATATATTCGTAGTTGCATGTCCAATGGTGGTCAGAAGCAGACGAGACCAACAGGCCGGTAGGGCTTGAGTGACACATGCATGAGCGAGAGGAGGCCATCGAGGTGGAGGCTCCGCGGACGCTTGTACCGATCACGGTGAGCGAGACGCCCATTTTGCCTGTCTTGACACGCGTTGACTGTGGGTAAGCAAAAGCAAACACGGCCTCTAGGGGGTGCGTGTTCCTTTTTTGGTGCTGATGCGGAGGAAGAAGGAAAAAAAGGGAGGGGGGTGGTGAAGTGGATGGATGCATGTGGGCGGAAATGAGGAGCGGCAAGGGAGCTGCGCGTCGCTCTTGCCAGCGGGGGGTTGGACCCGAGAGGAAGGGCCCGGAAAGGAAGGAAGGGCCAAGGAGCCGAGAGGCAGAAGGAGCGAGGCATAACGTTGTGCGCATGCGCATAAGTCACTGGGCATTGCGACACCGGTACTGCAAGTCTGAGAGCCTGGTGCTGTTCTATTACCCCGTCCTGTACGACGACGGACTGTGCAGACGTAGAGCTCTCTAATTTTGCACACAAAATCATCAAGCAAGACGCCTGTTCTGTTCTACCCCTGAGAAACGCCCCGTGGCCCGCCGACAGCAAACATGCATGCATGGCGTTGGCCGCGGTCTGCCGTTGATCAGATGCCGCCAACAAGGGAAGGGGTCTTGGCGCATCAGTAGCCGTCGTCCAGTTTGAAGAGCAACCAGAGTTGGATCCTTCTCTACGGAGTACTGTAGGTATTGAAAGCCCCAGTCCCTTCACACTCTCTCACCCCTGTCCTGCCTCGACACAAGCTGCGCACGCACGCTCAGGCACCGATAAACGCAGGGGCCGCCAGAGCGGCTGCGGCTACAGAAGAAAAGGGGCGGCGCGGATGCTGCTCGCGGGCGACCTTTTCTCTGTCATCCATTATCATCACAATTCTTCTTTTTCCCTTTCTTTTTCTCTCAGCTAGTCTCTCCTCGTGCCGGCTTGTAACACAGTAGCGCCAACGGGCGGGAGCAAACCCGCCTCAGCCAAGGAAGGCTCTTGGCTCGGCCATTTATCCCCTCTTGCTGCCGGGCTTCTTCGACATGCATTATGCCCTCCAATTGTAGGTGGACAGATGGCGGGAAAACGCAGGACCAACTCGCCTCTGTTTCAGGCTTCGCCGTCATCAAATCATGAGACACGCATGCGCCGCCCTACATGGCACATGCACGTTGGCGACCACCTCCGCCGCCATCCGGGGCATCGATCCATCCGGGCGCTTCACTGACGACAATGAAGACTCTCAGACACGCACAAGCAGATTGATGAAGAGACGGCGTCGACAGCTCGTGGCGATTAGTTTCTCAGCTGCTTCCGCACGTTGCAGAGGTTGAATGCCGCCGTGATTAGATGAACAAGCCCACCCTGGCTGCCAAGAGCAAGCACTCTGGGGTAATACTACCCGGACACACGGTATTATTGACGCCAAGCCTTCAATGCTGATCCACAGGCGAGTGGAGAGCGAAAAGCAGCAAGCACAAGCGAAGGCGTGCGACAGCCAGGGAGGCCGGTGGTGTCCCCTCGCCCCCACCCCGAACCTCGACGCTTCTGCCTCTCGCTCCCAAGGCGTGCTGGACGTTGGCTGAAACACGTCTTTCCAGATTGTCGGGGCTGAGTCGAACTCGCCAGGCAAAGACATTAGGGCGCGAATCGAAACGAGCCCCGCCAACGCAGCGTCGACTCTCACTCGACGACCTAGAGGTTGCTCTTATTCTAGACTTTCTGGGCCCGGTGATGCTCTCGACGTCTCCCTGCAAAAGTTGATTTTGAGCAATGCCATGCGAGACAACAGGATCAGGTGTTTCAATGGCTAACCTACACAGGTACACGCAATTAGGTAGTACGTTTTAATCCCCCATCACCCTCCTTGTTCCTCCTTCCTGCGCGCCGGCCCTCGTCACTTGCTGTCGTCGAGCTCGGCGAGAATGGGCTGCTCGAGGGTCTCGGGCTTGGTGGTGCTGGCCCAGCGGCCCTTGACCTTTCCATCGCGGCCGACGAGGAACTTCTCAAAGTTCCACTTGACGCGCTTGAGGCCCATCAGCCCCGGCTTCTCCTCCTTGAGCCACTGGTACAGCGGACTGGCCGCGTCGCCGTTGACCTCGACCTTTTGCATAATGGGGAAGCTGACGCCGTAGTTGACCTGGCAAAAGTTTTGGATTTCGTCGTCGGAGCCGGGCTCCTGCGAGCCAAACTGGTTGCAGGGGAAGCCGAGGATGACAAAGTCGTCGGGGTGCTTTTCCTTGATGGACTTGTAGAGCGTCTCGAGGCCGGCGTACTGGGGCGTGAAGCCGCACTTGGAGGCCGTGTTGACAATGAGGACAACCTTGCCCTTGTAGTCGGCCAGAGGCACCTCTTGCCCGCGCTCTACATGGCACCCATCCTGATTAGCCGGCCACACAAGAGCTCGGGGGGACAGCGAGTCGCCTACTGTCAAGCGGCTTGAAGTCGTAGAAGCTCGTCGCCGAGGACATGGTGACGAGGAGTCGATGTGGGCGGCCGTAGATGGCAGAGGGAGCTGTCGACGGTCGGGCGGCGGCGGCGGTGGTCAGGATCGAGGGAGGAGTGCAGATGGACAGAGGTGTCTTTGCGCACGTCGCGATTTGGGGGACTCTGGAAGCGCAAAAAAGTTGGCGGCCTGCTTGGTGACAAATGGCAGGACGATTCATGGGCAATTTGGAGCTTTTATTGCCTCCTGTTCTCCTGTTGGCCGTCGTGGCAGGAAGAGGCCGCGGCAGCTCAGGCTTCCGAGGAACCCCGCGACGTCTGCTGCGACACGCTTGCCCTGTTAGGTAAGCGGGCAGGGTACCTGCTCGGCAGCTCAGCGAAACGTGCCTCGGCATCGAGCTCCCGCGCCTTGTCTCAGGCTTCGCACGGAGACGAGTGTGTGTAACTTTGCATAGTTGCAGCACACCAAGGCGTGCTACCCTACATAAACCAGCATGCCTCGGTGCAGTTGCGCGACAAGAAGCCAAAAGGACAGAGAGGAACAAGGAGGTAAGTTAGGTATCTACCTAGGTACTGTACTTAGATACCTCAGTATCCGGCGAGCTTGCTGGCACCAACAAGTGCTTTGTACCTCGAGACTCCGTCATCGGGTACACCTACAGTACCTACCTACCTACCTACCCTGATTACCCCTACAGCACGCCGAGGGGCAACGGCCAGCCAGACTGTGATAAATGATGCAGATGATTGGCGGCGTCCAAGGTTGCCAGAGGCAGAGGCCAGGAACCCGCAATTCTAAATTCGACTCCAATCTCCATCCTCGCCCGGACGCCTCTCCCGCCCTCCGCGTCGACGAGAGCCCTCAACTCTGATCGTGTGTCAGCTCCCTCGTGCGACCCCGCTTGCGTCATCGCCCAGTATCCAGTTTGGACCAAAGCTACTACCTTTGCTTCGAGGCCACGGCCATGGACCGAAAGCGAAACATTGTCATCGTCGGTGCGTTCCGTGCCAGTCCCGCCCGTTGGGTCCCGCAGAACTAACAAGCGCCGTTGCTGCACGCACAGGCGGCGGCATCATCGGTTGCACAACGGCCTACTATCTTACCCGCCACCCCAAGTTTAATCCGGCCCTCCACACCGTCACCTTGCTCGAGGCCGCCTCGGGCGTGGCAGCCGGCGCGTCGGGCAGAGCCGGCGGCCTGCTGGCCCTCTGGGCGTATCCCGCCTGCCTGGTCCCGCTCTCGTACAAACTGCATGCCGAATTGGCCGCCGAGCACGACGGAGCCGGGAAATGGGGCTATCGGAAGCTCACTTGCGGCAGCTTGCAGGCCACCGTCTCGACGCAAAGAATCGCCGAGCTGCAAAGGTCCGGGGAAGACGCCAGGGCCTGGCAGAAGCTGCCCAAGCTGGACACCGCCGCCGAAGACCTGCTGGAGCCTGGGGCTCTGCCCAGAGACTTGGACTGGGTCGACCGAGACTCAGTCGCCCAGTGGGCCGAGATGGGAAGCCCCGGGGCCACCGAGACATCTCAGGTCCACCCCTTGCACTTCACAAACTCCATGGCCGAGCTGGCCCAGAAGGCGGGCGTCGAGCTGAGGACGCACGCCAAGGTGACGAACCTCGTCGCTTCAAAATCAGGCGTCCAAAAGGTCGAATACTGGGACAGGCAAGCCGACGAGCAGAGGGAAGTCAACGACGTGACGGATATTGTCGTCACCGCTGGCCCCTGGACAGGACGCTTGCTGCCACGATCCAAGGTCGAGGGCCTGAGAGCCCACAGTGTCGTCTACGAGGCTGATGTGAGTCCATTCGCCGTCTTCACCGACATCCAGCTGCCGCCCGACTTTGTCCCGGAGCATCGCGCCGCCAAGGGACAGAAGAGGATGCACAAGGGGTCCGTCGATCCCGAGATTTACGCGCGGCCTTTCAGCGAGGTCTACGCATGCGGTGAGTGACCACGCCCCGGCTCGTCGCCGATGCCGATGCTCATGCGCGCACACAAAGGCGAGCCCGACACTGCGATCCCCTTGCCGGAGACGGCAGACGAGGTGCAGTGCGACCAAGCCCAATGCGACGACATCATCTCGTACATTGCGACAGTGAGTCCGGTCCTCGGCGCCGCGCCCATCAAGGCCAAGCAGGCGTGCTACCTTCCGCGCCACATGCGCTTCGGCCAGGAGAGCGGGCCCTTGCTGGGCGAGACGACTGTTCCGGGGCTGTGGGTTGCGGCCGGCCACACGTGCTGGGGCATTCAAAACGGCCCGGCCACGGGGAAGCTCATGTCCGAGCACCTTTTTGACGGCGCGGCGCAGAGCGCCGCTGTGGACAAGCTCGACCCGCGAAAGTTCAAGGTATGAGGCCGGCGCCTGGTCGGGAGGGATTTGCGAGGGCGTTGGCTGCCGTTCGTCACGGACGAGGCGTCGGAGACGGGTGCTCGACGAATAGACGTGTGCGTAGGATAAACAGATTGACTGTGATGCGGCATCGACAACGCCAAGAATGATCGGTGGAATTTTCGCTCATCTGGGTAGATGCGACTGTTGGTGCCGCAAACTGAGGGAAATCAGGGTCTAAAAAAGGGTCCTAGACAGCCGGAGCGGGTCCAGCCGTGTGGCCTTATCGATAACAAATTTCGGACGGGAAAATTTGGGGTCCTGCCATCTGCACCTCCCGCGAGCCCAGGCAAAAGTCCCTTCGACTCTCACCGACCGCACGAACCCCATCCATTGCCCTTGCAGAAAACTCCAGACCATGGGCCGCGAGCTGCAGAAGAAGAAGCGGCGCTCCATGCGCCAGCCCGTCCGGCCCAAGAAGCCAACCAAGGTGCTCAACCCGCGGGGCAACAGCATCATTGCGCAGAACTGGTACGCTCGCCCCTCGCAATGACCCGGGAGGCAAGGCAAGGGAAAGAGGGTGGGAGGTGATGGAGAAGGCTGACGCGATGGGCTGCTCCTGCAGGGACAAGAAGGAGACGCTGGCGCAAAACTATCGTCGCCTGGGCCTCGTTGCGCGCCTCAAGGCTCCCACGGGCGGCATCGAGAAGAAACTCGGCTCCGGCCCTGCCGCCGCCGCCGCGCCGTCGGATCCCTTCGGCATCGCCTCCGTCGACAAGGTGGTCGTCTCCGAGGCGCGCGTCGAGCGCGACGCCGCCGGCAACATCACGCGCGTCCTCGGCCGGGACGGCCACGACAACCCGCTCAACGACCCGCTCTGCGCGCTCGAGGCCTCAGACCATGACGACGCCGACGACGACGCCGACGACGATGAATGGGGCGGCATCGCCGAGCAGGAAGAGGCCCGCGCCGCGCAGCCCAACGCCGTCGTCCGCTCGCTCATCGCGCAGGCGCACAACCCGGCGCCCAAGCGGCCGCGCCACCTGAGCGAGGCCGAGGCCGATTGGCTCCGCCGGCTGGTGGCCCGGCACGGCGACGACACGGCCGCCATGGCGCGGGACCGCAGGCTCAACCCGATGCAGCAGACGGCCGCCGACATTGGCCGCAGGATCGGCAGGTTGCCCCAGGCGGCGTGAGGGGGCAAGCCTCGCGTGCACACACTTGGGCGTTGCGGAGTTTTGATTCTGTCTTTTCAAACTTCTTTCTTGGGCTTGCACGGGGGCGGAGTCGGGTATGAGCAAAGAGCCATTCGCCGGCTTCATTTATACAGAAAAGAGTCCAATTTGCGAGGGGCCACACCGGCCCATCTATATACATACATGCCAAGGCCATTGGTATCTTCACGTAGCAAAGGAGGGGGAGGCTATGCTGTATGAAAAGTCACCACCGTAAACGCCGTAGAACGGGAACAAGACGAATGCCCACAGCCCCGTCCAACAAACTGCCCCATCACAACCCCATGTCCGCCGTCCATTCCTCCAGGTCCGCCGATGCCATCATGCCGCCTCAATCAGCGCCATCAGTCATTACGGGTGCCCACGGTCGTAGTTGCCCGCCGGGAACACCGCCGGCTCGTCCGTGTAGGGCCGATGCGGGGCACCGCCGTAGGGCACAGGCGCGGGGGGCGCCGCGACGCCGCCGCCCGAGGTGTACTCCGTGTCTTGGCGGAGGAAGTCGTTGTTGCCGTGGCTGCTGTCGGCGCGCGGCGGGAGAGAGCCGTAGCGGTCGGGGTCGCCAAAGTCGTCGGCGCTGTAGGGGTTGGCGGTGCCGTAGCGCCCCGTCTCGGCGTAGTGGGCGCCGGCGGCCTCCTGGTCGTCGAGGTTGACGCGCTCGTAGTCCTCGTCGGCGGTGGAGAAGGCGGCCTTGTCGGGGTCGATGTTGGTGCTGTTGTCGGGCAGGCGCTGGTGGGAGTCGTAGCCGGGCAGGGTGCCGTGGAAGTTGTAGTACTTGAGGCAGTAGGAGCTGACCAGGGACGAGCCGACCCAGAGCAGGCTGCGCGATTTCACCGTGTTAGCTCGGCGTGCTCTCGGAAAGGGGCCAGGGACATACGTGGCGAAGACGCCGAGGCCGACAATGGCCTTGCTCAGGTTGCAGACCTGGCCGCACTGGTTGGCAGTGTTGTAGGCGGCCTGGGTGGCAAAGGCGGACAGCCACAGGACGGCGAAGAGAACGTCGATGACGAGCATGGCCTTGGGCTCGGCGATGCGGCGAGCCTGGGGCCAGCGGGGCGCCATGATGAGGTACAGCCACGCGGGTATGGACAAGAAGCACTGGAAAAGGAAGAGGGCATTCTCAGCGACCGGCAACGTGGGACACGGGTGGTGCGGGCTTACCACTGCAAAGGTCCAGGCATTGTTGACGACGACTTTTGCGTCTCTGCCGACAAAGACGGCAATCTCGAGGCACCAGATGGTGAAGCCAAAGAAGATCTGGGCCGTGTGCAGGCCCAGCTTGACGTGGGGGACGTATTCGGGGGCCCACTCGAGGTCGACCATGGCTGGCGGCGGCGGCGGCGGTTGTTGTGGTGGTGGTGGAGGCGGGAGAAGATGTCGAGTCTTGGGGGCAAGCGACGATGACTCTCGTGGGAGACGCGAGACGCTGCGGGGCGGAGAAGGGGATCGCAGAAGGCGAAGGGGCCGGCGGTGGATGAGGAGGAGGAGAAGAGGGTGCTTGGTCGTCGGCGGCGTCGTCACGTCAGCGAGGCGAAAGGCAGCCGAATTGTTTGTAGGTGCGAGTTGGCTGTGCGAAGAGGGTTGTGGATCTCTGCACACGAAAGATGGTGAGGCTGAGTCTCCGTATCAGCGGTTGTACCTGTACTCGGTACAACGTGTGCAGATGCAGGTGCAGACAAAGAAGCCGAGACGTGAGGTTCCGGGCAGCAGCGGCAGCGGTATTTCTTCTTCTTCCCTGTATCCGTATGTGCGTGTGCGTCGCACAAAGCAAAAAGAAAGCATGCAGCGGGAGAGAGTTGGTTGTTTTGTTTCCGCTTGTCGAGGTGCTTAATGGACGTCGAGGATCCCCCAGCCACTTGCACTGGGTGCTTGGTTCTTGCGGGGACCCGGCAGGCCCCGCCCATCATCCATCAGCCCCTTCAGGTTTCCCCCTCTCTTCTCGCTCTTAATTGACTAACTTAACTTGCTGTCCCGGCGCCTGAGTGGACGCTCACCAGGGACGTGTCAGTGGGGAGGCAGGCCTAAAGTGCCTGTACTCTGTACCACGGAGCTAATAATAGGCGCGGCAAGCCACCGGCCCGTGCTTGGCCCTGGGCGCCGTGGCAACCGCGAAAGCCACCCGCCGCCGCCCGTGGGGCTGTGCTGGCGGTTGCTGCGCGTCGCTTGACAAGATGGCGCTCATCCCCTCGCTCCCTCCCTCGCCTTGGCCTTTTCGATTCATGCTCGGCTGAGTACAATCCCTGGGGCATCGTGATCCGTGCGTGCGGCGAAGGAAAAAGGGCCTGACTCAGCAACAACAAGGGGACGGCTCCAAATCTCTTTATTCATGCTTTCCCTGGCGCCTGGAAATCACCACCAAGCACGTCTAGCCAAGATCCGGTTATCCTGTTTCAACTCCGGGCAGTGGTATCCAAGACTCCGTCAGGGACATTCCGACGAGGGGCAGCCAGCCATACGCCAGGGGCCGCCCATCCATCCCCACGTATGCCCCCTTCATCGCCTTTCCAGCGTTGCGTGAAGCGTGTGATGCCGGATCAAGGCGACGCAGCCCAGGGCCACGACGGCCAGCCCCAGCAGCGTCAGCCACACGCCCCGGAATGCCTCCATGAAAGATTCAATCACGCCCTCGTACCAGCCCTCGGGGAGGTGCTTGAGCGCCCCGAGGTCGTTCCGGATCCGCCTAATCTCCTCGGCCGCGTTGGGGTAGTCGCCAAACCGATCCCACAGCCGCGTCTTGAGGATATTTTGGTACACGGCGGATCCAATCGTCACTCCGAGGGTGCCGCCGAGGCTCCTCGCCAGGTCTGCAAATACTGTCAGCGACGAAAAGACACCGTGGCACGAGCAACATACAGGTGGCAGACGTGACGACGGCCTGCTGCGAATGCTCCACCGCCGCGATGCACGCCAACAGCGTAATGGTTAGCATGGCGCCGTAGCCGCCACCGACAAAGAAAAACGCCACGCTGCTAAGCCAAAGCGGGCTGTCTGTGTCCTGGAGCGTAAAGAGGACGAGCCCGAAAATCAAGACGACGAGACTGGCGATGCCCAGCCCCACGTAGCGGCCCGTCCGCCTCATGAGATAGCCCGCCGCCACGGAAAAGATGGACACGCCGACGGGCGACGGCAGGATCTTGAGGCCGGCCCCCGTGGCCGAGTCGCCCAGGACTTGCAGGTAGAGCGGCACGTAGAAGATGCCGGCCATGACCACCATTGTGCAGAGCAGGTTGCACAGACAGGCGGCCAGGACGGTGCGCCCGAGGAGGAGCTGGACGGGGATGATGGGCTGGCGGGCCCGGCTCTCCCACCAGAGGAAGACGGCAAAGATGACGACGGAGAGGGGGATGGTGATGAGGGGCAAGGGGTGTGTCCACGGGACCTGGTTGCCGCCGGAATTCAAGCCCAGGAGCAGCAGGACGAGAAAGGACGAGGTGAGGAAGACGCCGAAAAAGTCGATGCGGGCGAGGTACGACTTGTCCGACTGCTTGGGCGGCACGCGGACGAGGACGGCGACGGCGACGGCCGAGAGCAGCACGGGGGGCACCTGAATGATAAAGGCCAGCCGCCAGCCCCATGCGGTGCGGTCGTTGATGAGGCCGCCAAAGATGCCGCCGAGCATGGCGCCCGAGCCGTAGCAGATGTTGCCGATGCCCTGGGCAATGCCCCTGTTGCGCAGCGGGATAAGATCGGAGCCGAGAAAGGTGGAGATGCTCATGAGGCCGCCGCCGCCGACGCCGGCAACGACGCGGCCGAGCACCATGGCGCGCTCGTCGCGGGCCAGGCCGCAGAGGAGGTTGCCGGCGGCGAAGACGAGGTTGCTGAAGACGAGGCCGGGCCCGCGGCCAAAGATGTCGGTCAGGCGGCCCGAGATGGGCTGGCAGGCGGCGTTTGAGATGAGATAGGCGGTGGCGAGCCAGGAGAGCAGGCTGAGGGAGTGGAACTCGCTGGCGATGGGGGCCGAGAGGGTGGCGATGATGGTCGAGTCGATGGCGCCGAGGAAGACGCCGAACCAGGCGGTGCCCATGATGAAGGCGAGGCGGGCAAAGGGGAGCTGCTTGGCGATGACGGTTCTCTCGCCTTGTTCCCCCTCTGCCTCTTCCTCCGCCGCCTCTTCCTCCTCCTCCTCGTCGACTTCTTCTTCTTCTTCTTCTTCTTCTTCTTCTTCTTGTGCTTGTCCATCTCGACGGCGATGGTGATGCTCGCCCCCATTCTTACGCCGCCCATTCGGCTGGGGAGCTTCTTGCGGAGGCTGCAGCAGCGGTGTGCGCTCGTGCCGGTCGACGCCCGAGGGCCCGCTCCGGTCCTGGCCCGCCATTGCGTGTCGAGCTGTTGTGGTGCAGACGGTGAGCCTGGATTCTCACGGCCCCGAGAGCAGAGAGACAAGCCAGCAGGCAGTGGAACTTGCTTACTAACGTGACACTATACGTACATAACTTCGGTATCGGCCGCCGGGCGATCCGGCAGGCTCGTCGCTCGATAATGGCCCGGTGCACTGAACAAGTCGGGGCAATTGGAGATGCCAATGAAGCTACTGCAGAGCCGCGCAGTCATTGAAGCTGCAGCTGTGGCTTGCTGCCGCCCAACACCCGGCGGTTCGGGAATTGACCCCCTTGAATATCCGGTGCCCCGCCCCCGCCCCCGCCCCCGCCCCCACGGCTTCCGCCTCCGGCCCGGCCCTTTCTCTGCCGCTCCTCACCTCACCTTTTATTCACTCGGCTCGAAACAGCTCACCACCGCAGGAGTCAAGAAACATCCTGGTCAATATCCCCATATACCCCATCGCTCACTCCTCCACCGCATCGAGTCGTCACAAAAACCTCCCGTCTCCTCAATTCGAGGCCTGGCTGTCCCTCTCCCCCACGCCTCGACTCCTCTCTCGTCCAGGGACTCGACCTCACCGCGGCTACAATGACCGCCGCACTCCCCAACATGAAGCCCCTCAACGTCCTCATGGTAAGGCCCCCCCTTCCTCTTGTCGAGCAAAGAGAGGGCGCGTGTCTATAACTGTCCTCGGGTTCGCTTCCCAGGTCGGCACCGGCGAGTACACCACCGGCTTCGTTGGCGGCGGCGCCTCGGCATCCGACAAGAAGGTCGGCGTCGTCGGCCTGACCATGTTTGACCTCCGCCGCCGCGGCAAGGTCGGCAGGCTGGGCATGGTGGGCGTCAACGGCTCCAAGTTTCCCGCCATCCGTACGTTGCCCCCCCTATAATACACTCAAGCAGGTCCATAGAGATGTAAGTGTATACGTTACACATCTGACCCCAGGCGAGCACCTCGACCGCAACATCACCAAGGTCTACAACAACCTCGACACCTCGTTCGACTCCTTCCCCCCCGACACCGACCGCGACGCCCAAGCCTACAAGGCCGCCATCGACACCCTCGCGCCCGGCGACGCCATCACAATCTTCACGCCGGACCCGACGCACCTCGACATCGCCCTCTACGCCGTCGACCGCGGCGTCCACGTCCTCGTCACCAAGCCCGCCGTCCAGCGCCTCGCCGACCACCAGGAGCTGCTGCGGCGCGCGCGCGCCCGGGGCGTCTACGTCTACGTCGAGCACCACAAGCGCTTCGACCCGGCCTACGCCGACGCCCGACACCGCGCGCGCCAGCTCGGCGACTTCAACTACTTCTACGCCTACATGGCGCAGCCCAAGTACCAGCTGCAGACGTTCCGCGCCTGGGCCGGCTCCGACTCGGACATCTCGTACTACCTCAACAGCCACCACGTCGACGTGTGCGACTCCATGGTGCGCCCGCTGGGCTACCGCCCCGTGCGCGTCTCGGCCGCGTCGTCGCTCGGCGTCGCCACGGCGCTCGTGGGCTGCGCCGCCGGCACCGAGGACACCATCACCCTGCTCGTCACCTGGGCGCGCGACGGCCACCCGGCCGACGAGAAGCGTGCCGTCGGCGTCTTCACCGCCTCGTGGACGGCCCCCGAGCGTGCCGGCGTGCACACCAGCCAGCACTTCCACTACCTGGCCTCGGGCGGCGAGATCCGCGTCGACCAGGCCCGCCGCGGCTACGACGTGGCCGACGACGCCGCCGGCCAGGTCCAGTGGCTCAACCCCTTTTACATGCGCTACGCCCCGGACGAGGACGGCAACTTCAACGGCCAGACGGGCTACGGCTACGTCTCGCTCGAAAAGTTCGTCGACGGCTGCCGGGCTGTCAATGCCGGAGAGGTCGAGGCGCGCCATCTGGACGCAAAGGACCTGCCCACGCTTGCCAACACCGTCGCCACCACTGCCATCCTCGAGGCCGGGCGCCGCAGCATCGACCAGGGGGGGCGCGAGGTGGGCATTTTAGTTGACGGTGACACCTGGTCTTTGGTTTGAGGGGTTTGATGCACGAGTATCGACATGCCTGTTCTTCTGGTTCTGTGCTATGTAGGGGCGGAGCGAGGGCCTCGCATACGGCTTTGAAAGAGAGTTATTACACGGTGTATTCCTTTTCGGCACGGGAATGAAGCGTTGGATACGACGGGGCTTCTTTGTCTTTGTGGCAAACGCCATCCCTATTTGACCCCCTTTACACTCGCCATGACTTGTCCGCAACCAACACCCAGCCACCTACCCGGTAGCAGCGAGCTGCTCCCGGTCAGCCATATATCTTTGCCAGCTCAGCTACGAATACCGCATAAAATTAGAAGCATGCCCTCGCAGAAACAATTAATGAGAAATTCAATGTTCGCGAGCTGTGGTCGCCATGATGTCATTTTGCTGCCATAACCTCCGTCCATGTGGCGGCGAAAAGGAAAAATGGAGCAGAATTATCAATGCACAAAACACCAAGCCGGAATCTCCCCACGCCGTTTCTTCCTCCCTCACAAGCTTCATCTGCTTCGCTTCAACGCCATCACAACTGCTTCTCCCACCCACATCACCTGAATACTCGACAAGGGCCGCTGCTTTCTTCACATTCTTTCTATACGTATATACATGCCCACATAAGACAGTAATATCCGTCCAGGCGTGCCCCTTCACCATGTCCTCGGCCCCCTACCCCGATCCCACAGCCCTCATCTTCCCTCACCAACCGTCCCTCTCCTCGCTCCTCTCTTCCCTCCGCCGCTCAACCCTCTCCCTGCACAACCGCCTGGCCTCAATCCGCGCCGACGCCGCCTTTGTCGCTCGCGCCGCCTCGGCCTTCTCCCGGCCCGGCGCCCATGATGACGGCGATGCCGGCTCGGCGTCGTTCAACGCCGGCAGAAACAACTGCAGCAGCGGTAGACGGCCGAGGCCGCTCGTCGCCAACGAGCGCTGCGGAAGTTGGTACATGCCGCCGGACCGCAAGGCCGCCAGCGCCTACTTTAAGAGCACCGACGGCCATGAGCGCGCGTGGAAGTTTAGCACGCGTAGGCTCAACCTGCATCTCGTCGACATGATTGAGGACAATGACGGGTAGGATATCCACCGCGGTGCTTCTTAACAAAAGAGTCAAATGCGTGCTGATCAACTATGTAGCGTCATCATCGTCGACTCTACCCGTCGAGGAAAACGCAAGTATTCCCCTGACACCCTCTCAACCCACACATCGTGAGCCATCCCTTGAGCCGGAAACATGTGAGCTAACATGCAGCCCCTACACAGGCATGCCCGACGCCCTCTCTACCACCATCCCCATCTGGTGCACCGTCGTCAACCTCGCCCTCTTGCCCTCGCACCCTCTCTCGCCGAATCTCTTCCTGCCACCCCATCTGCCCCCCTCGACTCACGCCCAAGTCTCCGCCCTCATCCCAGGCTTCCTCGCCTCGCTACGCGCCCTCGATCTTGACTTGCTGCCCCGTTGCCGCCTCTCCAAGCCGCTGCGCCCGCTCTGGGTTACCCCCGACTCCACCCTCGATCCGGACCCGGGCCCGGACGCCGACGGCTCCCTCTTCGATGACTACCGCCCCGTCATCTGCTGCACTGCCAGCAGGGCGGTCCGGGGCAGCGAGATGGACGAGGGCGGCTATGTGCAGGGCGCCGCTGACGATGCCGAGAATTGGTCCTGTGGCTTGACCCCGACCCTCTTCTGGGACCACGTCGACGAGCTGCTGGCCGCTCCCGAAGCCGAACTCTCTGACATGATAGCCAGCCTTGTCTCGCAGCGCGAGTCCGCTCGCAAAGACGGCATGGCCGCTTCTTCCTCCCCGGCCTTGTCACGCAAATCGCTGACCTCCTACCTCTCCGTCTGCCCCCTGCCCCTGCACACACCCACCGCCCCCAACACCTGCCACATCGCCCTTACCTCCGCCGCCTCGACGCCGCAAGACTCATGGACCCGGTCCCCGACGCACATGGAGGTCGGCCTCGGCAGGCACAAGACGGCCAGCCGCAACCTTCGTCTCGCCCTGCCCGAAATCTGCGCCTTTGCCGCCCGCTTCCTCGACAAGGGGACGCCATCGGAGCCCACGGCGCAGGTGGTGGTGGCGTGCGACTCTGGTAAGGATGTCTCGGTAGGTGCAGCGCTCGCCTTGTCGTGTTATCTGTTCGACGAGCACGGCGCGTTCCGTGTGCCAGGGGAGGGCTTGTCCTTTACCAAGGCGCTCGTCAAGGCCAGGCTGGGCGCCATCATGAGCGCCTTCCCCGAAGCCAACCCCAGCCGGCAAACCCTGCAGAGTGTAAACAGCTTCCTGATGGATTGGCGAAAGTGAGCCATAATTAAGCAATTGGAAAGGAACAAATCATTCAGGCCAACCGGGACAAGCAGAAAACGAGGGTCTCATTTCGTCGTATGTCTCTATGCGCGTCTTTCTAGCCGTCATCATGTCCTAGTGAGAACAAGCAAGATGTCATGGATGACTACTGCGTGCCAAAATCTCCAGCGCGCCTCGCTTCACGGCTCTCCTGTTTATGGGATGTCTTCTTGTTGTGGAATGCCCTCCCCCTTTGACCTCGACAGCGGAATATGACTCTAGACCTCGCCGGCCTCAATCTTTTGCAGGCAGGCTGGGAACTCGGACCAGTCGCGCATGATGACGACGGCGCCGGCGTCCGTGAGCACCTTTTCCATCTCGGGCCTCAAGTCCGGGGAGTAGGGGCCGACGTAGCCAATGACCTTGATGCCGGCGCGGGTGCCGCTGAGGGTGCCGCTCTTGCTGTCCTCAATGGCGACGCTCTCGTCGGCCTTTTTGCCCAGGTCCTTGAGGGCGTGGAGGTAGATGGCCGGGTCGGGCTTGCTGGTGGGTTTGTCGAGGCTGGTGGCGGCCGAGTAGATCTTGTCGCCCTTGTCACTCTTGAAGTACTTGTCCTGGCCGACCTTGTCGACGGAGGCCTTGACGCGGCGCAGGGCCGACGAGGAGACGACGGCAAGGCAGTACTTGTTGGAGGCGGCCAGCTTCTCGAGCTGCTCGTCGACGCCGGGACAGGGGCGCAGCGCGGCCTTGAGCTTTGCGATGACGGCGTCCTCCTCCATGCTGACATACTTTTCCATGTCGTCGGGGCTAATCTGGATGCCATGCTGCTTCTGCAGCGTGGTGAGCATGCCGCGGAAGTTTTGGCCAACAAACTCCTTGATGAGCGTCTCGCCGGTGAAGGTGATTTGGAGGCCGCGCTCCTTGCAGATCTTGTTGATGAGGTCGGCGCAGGCCTCGAATGCGAGCTCCTCGGAGAGGACGAGGGTGTTGTCGCAGTCGAAGAGGAGGGTGTTGATCTGCGATGGAGTGTCAGCGAAGCCCAGCGAGTCTTGGCATTGGGGGAAAGGAGGCATCGTACTTGAGGCATCTTGAGTGATGGTGAGTGTTTTTCGGGGGGGCTGGAAGACGAGGAAGTGGCCGACGAAGCTTTGCTTGGAGCGAGGCGAGGGTTGAGAGATGGGACAGAGGATGGGAGCCAGAAATGAAGACAAGAAAGAGGAGGAATGGAAGAAGAAGAAGGAAAAGGAGAAGTAGAAGTAGAGGAAGAAAAGGACAGGGCTCGGGCGAAGGCGACAGCGGAGGGACCTAGCGGTCGGGAAGTAGCAGCAGTGACGGCAACAGGCGGGCTGGCTGCCGCTCTTTTTGACACCCCTCCTGATTGTACTCGTTACGAAGTAATTACTTGCTTTTTTTGTTGGTGGGGGGAGAGGCGGAATACGGTAGAAACGCTGCAGAATCCCAATGGCCGCGACAGACTTCCGGGTTGTGCCGACAAGAGGCTCTCCCTCGTTACCGGGATACCTCAACAACTTTGTTCCTCGTCTCGTCGTTTCCCTCCCGTCGCCTATTTTGCACAGCCATCATCCGCTCCGAAGCCAGCTCATCGAGCTACCTCGTGCGTACGTGTCGATTTTCCCACGCCCTCCCCAGGCCACGGCTCGCCCGCTGCCCCCTGTTGGTGACGATGTAGTTAATCCCAGCAGAATATAGAAAGGAGCCAGTCATGGCGAGGCAAGAGGAGGACTTCGGTATGCATCGTGGTCGAAGCAAGACGATGTGTCGTGTACAAGCCAAGGTACTGTACGGAGTCCTTGTTCTGTTCTATCCAGGCCAGACCTTCACTTCAGGTACTGTAACTTACAGTTTACCCCTCCCCCTCCTTGTCGTCATCTGCCGCCCCGTGCTCCTTCAGTTATATACGTATACGGATAATAAGCTTAGGTAATGCATTCGTCTCCCTCCCACGCCAAACGTCTCTTCGACGCGCCTCTCACAATAGCCATCCACGTTTTTTCTTTCGGCCACGCGTGCATTGTCAACCGTTGAGAAGACGACAGTAATGACAAAAGGAAAAAAAAACAATCGAGAGACCGAGCAGGCAAACCATGGCACAGACGCATGCACCTCTCTCCGAAATCGCATCTGCTGCTCTCACCGCAACCTCCATGTCGGCGCTTATGCACCAGCGGCAAGCCCATCACGGAAGGTCAGCAGGTCTCCTTGGCCGTCTCGTAGCACAAGAGAGTGGCGGTGGGAGGATAGCGGGCCAACTCTCTGTTCCTGGTGCCCAATCATGGCACAAACCCGCCTCCTGTAATGTAAATATGGCGACATTATTCACACACGAATATGCTAGCTATGCTCGAGCGTCGCAGGAGGTGCCGCCTCGGGCAAACAAAAAACAAAGGAGGAAAATACACAGTCCTGAACGCCCTGTTACACCACCACGAGAGCCTCTTTGGTCATCGTCGTCATGCTCGTCATCAGCCATCGTCAACCCGGTCTCCTGCACCATGTCCGTAGCCTTTCCATCAAGGAACTAGCTTTGGAGAATAAAACACGCATCCTACCAGCGATGCGTCGTCGACTTCTGTTGCCGAAAAGATAGCCTCGGACAGCTCGTTGGGCTCAACCGACGCCCCCCTACAAAATCTCGCGCAGCTTCTGCTTCTGGGCCGCCGTCAGGCTCGAGGGAAAGTTGACCTTGTACTTGATGACAAAGTCGCCGCGCTGGCCGGGCTTCTTGGTAATGGGCATGCCGAGGCCGGGATAGCGATCCTCGCTGCCGGGCTGCGTCGGCCCGCTCTTGTCCAGGTTGATCTGCCGGCCCTCGATCGTCGTCACGGTGCGTTTCCAACCCGTCAGCGCCTCCTTGAGGTCGAGCGTCACCGGGTGCACAATGTCGTTGTCCTCGCGCTTGAAGAGCGGGTGTTCCTTCTGCGGGTCACGGTTAGCATCATCATCCTTGGTCCCAATCCAATGGTTTGTCGGCTTACCTCTTCGACGATAAAGTGCAGGTCCTGGCGTCCGCCCTCGACCTGGTCGCCGACGCCGTTGAACTTGATCTTGGAGCCCTTCTTGAGCCCCGGCTTGATGGGCACTTCGAGCACCTGGTCCGTCTGCACGCGCTTGCCCGACTCGTCAAACGTCTTGCGCTTAATCTTCATCTTCTTGGTCACCCCGTTGAAGAGCTCCTCGAGCGTCAGCGGCAGGGGCCGTTCGACAGTCGTGATCTCAGGCGTGGGCTCGCGTTTCCGGGGGTCCGGGAACCCAGACGACCGCATTCTCGTACGGCCAGCACGCGAGGCACCGTCCGGAGTGCCACCAAAGGAGGAGAAGATGCCGGCAAGGTCGTCGTCGTCATCGGCTCGCCTGCCGCCAGCGCCGCCACCCTGACGCACAAACTCGGCAAAGATGTCCTCGGGGTTGTTGAAGCTGAAGCCGCCGCCGCCGCCACCGCCGGTGCTGAAGTGGAAGGTCCGGGCGCCGCCAGCGCCAGGCATGCCGCCGCTGCCAAAGTCGAAGCCGGAAAAGCCGCCGGGCATGGCGCCACCCGCAAAGGGGTTCCCGCCGGCACCAGCGTCGTCAGGAGGGGGGGCGCCTCCGCCGCGAAGCAGCACCTCGAGGCCATACTGGTCGTAAATCTTGCGCTTCTCGGGGTCAGACAGAATCTCGTAGGCTTGGGAGCACTCCTTGAACTTTTCGGCGGCGTTGGGGTTGTCCTTGTTCTTGTCGGGGTGCCATTTCAGCGCCGCTTTTCTACACGCGGGACCGTGGTCAGCCTGCGGGCACAGTCAAGAGCCTTTGGGTGCAGATCAACATACCTGTAGCCTTTTTTGATTTCATCCTGCGAAGCGTCGGGCTTGGTGCCGAGCGTGTCGTAGAGCTTGGTTTCTTTTACCATGGTGAGCAGCTGGTCAATTACCGAGTCGCCCCCGGGAGGTCAAAAAGAAGGTACGTCTTTCTATTCTTTGGCTGGGTATTGAAAGTGCGGGGGGCAGGAAGCCGACGATGTACCAGGCCGAGAAAATAAGAGGCGCAGGGAGGGGGGGGGGGAAGAAGAGGTAAGAAGGAACGAAAAAAAAAAGAGGCAGATGAAGGAATCAAAGGCGCCGTAAAAGAAGCGTTTGTCGTTGCGCAGACGAGAGAGTCCGTGTGTGTGTGCGATGCACAAGAAGTTGCGGGAAGCAAGGAAGGGAGAAGTGACGTTTGCGAGGCGATGGATGTTATTACTGGCACACGGGCACAGGCCTGAAGAGGGCGAGTGGGGCCCCAGCCAGCTGCCCGGCCGGAGCTTGTGGAAGATTCTCCATTCCCACCTGGGTGGGCATTGAGTGTTGCCTCTTGTCATTGCCGCATCGGCCCAATCGAAGAAGACATGAGGTCGCTATTGTGCACTTTTTGCCAGGGCACCGAATCACGCCCCCGACATTCCATCACCGCCTTGCAGTACATGCTCTGGGCACGCCTCCCGACAGCGCACAACGGCTATGCCCCTTCGCCCTCGTCTGATATATGCATATTCCTCCTACTCCCAGACCGTGTCTCGAGCTGGGTACCCACGTAAGTTATTCACCAAGGTACCTAGGTAAGGTAGGTACTGAACGTAGGCCGTCTTCTGGCCATGGAACCTTCCAGAACCTTCCGCTCTAGACACTACAGAGTATTGTATTTACAGACGAATTGCTTCAAACACGCCAGAGATGCACCTCCAGGGTCAACGTCATGTTCCGTCCGCCCAGGCGCCTGGCTTCACTTACTGCTTGCATGACCCCCCTTGTCGACGCTCCTAACAAGTAATCCCCCTGCAACCGCTTCGGCCCAAGCGAATATGCATCCCCGTTTTTGCGTCCATTGGGCTCCGGTCTGCCCATCCAAATCCAAGGCCACTCATGACTCCTCTGCACCTCTATTCCTGGTAATCCGGAAGCTCCATGTCTATTCCGGGCGCCGCACCCTCGTGAGGCGCCTTGCCTTGAGGCACCGCCATGAACGACGGCGGCCGAGCTCGCTCTTGCATCTCCGGCCCTCGATCCGACTTGTCGTCTCTATCGTCCGCCGCCGCCTTGGGCGATTGACCCCCGGCAGCCACCTTATTTTCCGTGGCACCGTCCGCCTCTACCGGTTTCCTTTCGGGCAATGGCGGTCCTGGCACGTCGCTCTCCTCCGATGCTGCCGCCGTCCGGCCACTCCCAAACGCCCCCGCACGCTGGTGCTCCGACAGGTCCGTCATTTCCGTTGATGCAGCCTGCTTCGTGCCTTCAAACGGGTCATCGAAGCCGTTGCGGTCGTCGCTGCCGATGGATGCGCGGTTACTGTCCATCGAGTCCGCACTGTCTGCGCGGTGCTTTCGCTTGGATGGAGACATCACCTCCATCATCCCCACTGGCCGTCCATCTGCCGCCTCGTTGCTCTCCCTGCTCAGCTCCTGGCGGAAAGCCTTATTCTCAGCCCGCACAAAGCGTTCCAAGGATGCCGAGAGCGGTGCTCGCGGAGTGTTCAATGCCTCGTCGGTGGCATAGACGAGTAGCGGGTTCTTGGTCTCCTGCCAGATCTCGCGCAGAACCCGCTCCAATTCGATTTTCTGCTTGCCGTTAGCTGCGCGACCCATGTTCAATACTGGCCTTGCCCACGCACCTCTGCCTTGACCGGCTGCTCCTCCTTGGGTGCGTATGCCAGCCTCCACCACTGGTCGTGTGGCTTCGGCCGACTCTCCATCTCCATCAGCTCTGGTTCTGAGCGCTGCCGCAGGTAAACAATGTCGGTCGGGGTCGCGATGCCGGAGAGGAGGAATTTTTTGCATGTCATGGGTTGTGGCCGGCCGGGCTTGTCGGGCACCGTGAGCAGTCTGCCGAGGAAGCGTTGTCTGGCCCTGATCTGCTCCAGATCTTGATTGAGCGCTGCTGCCAGTCAGTACATCGAGGTTCAGGGCGACAGTCAAGACTGCGCTTACCTTTCAGCTTCTCTTCAATATCAGCCAGTGCCCGTTCTGCCATCTGCAGGACATCTTCCACGGCCTGATGGTGCTGCTTTTCCTCGTCGTCCATCTGACAGGGCGCTGTTCGATAGTCCGGGTATTTGTCTGTGTCGAAGCCCGATTCTTCCATTCCCCGGAACCGTCCCCGGCCTGCTAAGTACTCGCGGTAGGTCTTCCACTGGCCGATGACCTTTAGGATCATCCCTCTCTTATCAAATGATTGATGGTTCCAGTCGTTGCGCCACTCGTAGAGCTCCTGTTCGCCCTGTGCGATGCGTTGGATGGCCTGTTTCGTCTCGCACCACCCTTTTTGTATTCGCCGCGCCTCGTCTTTCCGGGTCAACAGGTACTTTTCGGGATACAGTTCCTCGGGAATGTCGATGGCATCTTCCGGGCCGTCTCCCGAGATTTTGATGACCATGACGTCGCCCATGTCCTTGAACATGGCCATTTTGGAGCCCTCATGCATCTCGCTCCAAGACAGCACATCGCTCCACATGATGTGATCCAGAGACTCGTACAGCGTCTTGATGTTAGCATAATCTGTCCGGACGTGTTCCACTTCCAACAGGCCGAACCGGGCCTCCTCCTCGCCCTCGTCGTCGCCCAACACATGGGTAAGGGTGGCCACTTGGGTCAGGGGCATCATCAGCTCGCCTCGGCGCTGGACAAGATGCTCGAAGAGGCGCTTTTCGGGGCCCACGGAGGAAAACGGTATCAGATCGGTCAGCACGCTTACAGCGCCGTAACTGCGCTCGGTCGAGTCGAGGAATGCCATGAGCCTATGGATTTCCTCTTCGCTGGACGGCGCTGCTCCGTGCCGCTCACCCCACGCTATTGCGCCGGACTGCAGTCGGTTGAGGACGTGCGGTGGTAGAATCTCCTGGCCCTTCCACCACTCGCTGTTGAAGCCATACGATTCTGCAGGTTTGCCAGTCCCGAGCAAGATGTTTCGAGAGAGGGGGATTCCGTGAAGGATGGTCAGGAGCCCCCCGAGGCAGTGCTCGCCGGCTGAGCTGAGCCCCGAAACCAGAAAGGCCGGTGCCCCAGGGGCTCTCTTCCTCGTCTCCGGTGCGGGGGCAGTGGCGATTTTGGACTCGGATGGCACCACTGCCCAGCTGTCCTGATCATAGTCACTGCGATTCGCAGGGCCAAAGGACGGCACCGAAGTCGCCGAGTCTAACACGCCGGATTCCTGTTGTGGCAGAGGGATGCCTGCCTCCTGAGCTGATTCTCGCAAAGCTCGTTGCATGTCTTGGTCTTCTCGAGACTGGGTATTTGAGGCGCCTGTAGCACGCGCCATTAGTTCCGCGTCGCCACCACGGCAGGGCGCAAGGCATTACCAGATACGTCTGCCCCAGCGGTCCAGTCCACCATTCTGCCCAGGGGGGACCGGTTGTTGGATCTTGATGGAGGTCTTGAAGGAGCGCCCGGTCCGCAACCTTCTGGGGGAGGTGTGACGCCCTGGATGACGTCGTTTGGCCCCATCGACTCGATATGGAACGCTGCGCCAGTTAGCTGCATGCCCTGGGTTGTGGAGGCGTGGAGGCGTGCAGAGCTCACATATTCCTGTGTGATTGTCGGAGCCGTCCCTGTCGGCGGAGAACATGCTGTCGTTCCAGGCCCGCGTAAACTTTTGCCGGAACTGCCTCGCGGTTAGCCTGTCTCGCGCCACAGCACAGCCAGCGTGGATCTTACGCTCGCGGGGTTATCAAAGTACTGCATGACGACCGACTCGACGTTGCCGCTATTGTCCTAGGAGGCGGAGGCGTCAGTCAAGCGCCGCACGATAGGCAGGGCAGAAGCACCTTGAGGGCCTGGATGACCAGGGAGCGATCGTCGTGGGGGTCGAGGCTCGCAAAGTCGATGACCTGCGATATTTGGTCCTCCGAGGGCTCCTTGGAGGCCATTCTGACTGCAGTTCAGCTCCCGTGCCAAGCATGCATCGGCGTTGCGGCCTTTGCTGCGGATTGTGTTGTCGCGGAGGTCCGGGGCGGCGCGAGCTCGATCGTGGCGCCTGGCGAGTCGAGGCGGAGAGGCAACGGATGTATGCGCTCGACGGGGTCGCGGGGACCGAAAACGATGGCCCGGGGTAAGACTATTCCGTAGCAAAGCAGTTCCAAAAAAGGGGACAAGGATGAAGCCGAATACTGCAGCTCCAAAGACAGGCGCAAACGCTTGCTGGGGCCGGGAATTGCAAGGATGCAAACAGAGGTTTAGGAGCGAGAGAGCACGGGGTCGGTCGGACGAGACGAGATGCAATGCATGGCACAGTATCGAGTACCTGCCCACGTACCGGTCCTTGGCGTACTGCAGTAGTAAGCGGGTCACTTGATAAGATAACAGAGCCCATGGCCGTGACGTAGGGCCCTTTCCACTGTGGAAGTCGCGTACAGAGTTTGCTCTAGACTGCACGAGCAATAAAGACGTGTCATGAACTTGGTCGTTCTCGACTTCTTTGATGCTTTTTCCAACAATCCTGCCCCCTGATCCTCATGCCGAGCGGCGCGCTCTCCCGTCTTGACTCGACAGCCGAGGCGGAGCCCAAGGCCAGCCGCACGGCCTGCTGAGACATGGCACATGAGCGTCATCGGCCTGAGGAATCGGCGCAGCCTTTCAAATGTGCGAGTGTACATCAGCTCCCTCCATTCCGGGCCCCTCCTATCGGATTGACGCCAAGGGAGACATATCGAGAACCACGACGAATATCAGTCACGAGGCCAGGCTTCTATTCCGCAGTTTCATTGTCAATGGCTTCCAAGAAATAAAAAGCACAACAGGACGCCCGAAGCCTCGTCTCTTGCGCCTCGGCAACCGCGGGCAAAGCCACGTCGCCGGTACAGCCATAAAAAGTCACGCTATGCAGTATCGCGCAGATGCAATGGGCCAACCCACACAGGGCTGGTGGTGAACAAGGCGGTAACGAATGCCGTCTCGATCCGTGTCGCGCCCTCGGCAGCCTCCTTCACACCAGGTCGTCCTCGTCCTCATCCTCGAAATCGCCCATGTCCTGATCACTTTCGCTGCTGCCAAAGTGTTCCTCGTCATCGGTCACGTTCCAAAAGTCGGGGTCATCGTCCACCTGCTTCTGGGGTACCGGGGCCAGCTGCGCCGGCGTGGGCATGGAGACGCCGTCGGGCACATCTTTTTGGGACTGGGCCACGATCGCCCTAGCCAGAGTATCGTATTCCTCACGATCGTCACGATAGAGAACACTCGCGTCGACGTTGGCGGCCGAATTGATCTCGGGGTCGTCCATCAAGAGGAGAACGGATCGCAGGACCGACTCGACGCCGTGGAGGACGTTCCAGCGCTCGCTCGCAAGCTCGCCCGACTGCTCGTCGTCTCCGGGTCGGTGGAGGATGGAGATGCACAGGTTTCCGTCCGTGTAGACATTGGGGTGACAGATGTTCCTTGTGAGAAAACGGAAAGAGGGCGGTTGATAAGGGTAGTCGCTCGGGAACTTCATTTCAGCCTGGTGGAAACGAGTCTGGTCAGTATGGCGGCGAGGGTCGAGGGGACTGGGTACTGACTTTTAGAAAGGCGCCGTGCCAAACGCTGTCGGGGTTGACGACCCAAAGGCCCAGCTTCCAGCGTAGCAGGTTGGTCTCATCTGTCTAGAAGAGGGCCAGTTAGGACGGGAGACGTGGGTTGAGGAGCTGATGCGCCGACGGCTCGCATACCTCAATATGGACCCATTTCTCCTTGTGGAGGGGTATCAGCTCCTGCATCAGCCGTTTCTGCGCCATGGAGACGTGGTGGGCCGAGGGAGCCGACGAGAGACTGCGTGGTTGGAGGAGCGGGTGGAGGTGGGGAGTGAAGGTGCCCAAGGGTCTCGAGGGACGGGAGATGGATTTAAAGAGTCGGGGACAGCGAAGAGAGGCGGCCAAAGTCGGGATTATAATCCAGCGAGACAAGGCGCCAAGCGTGAAAGAGAGAAGCGGAGGCTTTTTGGGCGAGAAAGCCAACAAGATCGGGCGACAGAGTGCCGCAGGCGTCCAAGAGGGTAGAGCGAGGCCCTTTGAGGGGGTTGAAGCGGAAAGGACGGGGAAGAGGCGAGGCGGCACGAAGGCGGAGGGACGAGAGGGACGAGGGTGCCTACCGGGGTGAAGCCCAAGGGTGTTGGTGGAGGAAGAGGAGCAGGGAGGAGAGGGAGGACGACGGGCAGGTGGAGGGACGGCCCAGGAACCAGGCGCCGGTTTGGGAACGGACGTTTGTGGCTTGGGTGCCTGACTCGGCGTGTCAGCCACAAAGGCACTGTGCGGTGGTCGCACACCTTGATTGCTTGCCAAGACGTCTCTTTATGAGGCGCAATTCACAATTTGGAACATGTCAGGCTCACGATTGCGATGCTGACCTGCTTGCCCACGTCTTTGGTCAGTCCATCAGGCGCTCCATTGGGATATGGCCCGTTGACGGGGCCGAGAGTGCTCATGTGGCTGATGTCCAGGTGGCTTGCTTGCAAGTCCAAGGTATGTACGTACCGCCGCGTGTGGATACATGCACCGCCATGCCCCACGTCCCCGAGCTGCCGGGGCCCGCTGTGGCGCCGGTCCATCAGCATGTGGCGCAAACAGCCTGGCAGACTTTCTCTAACTATATCTGTAGAGTCAAAAATGTCTTCCTTGACTGATTTGCTGCCACTGCTTGCGGCATGGCATTCATTCCAGGTCCACGGTCTCGTCTTCCCCACGGCGCTGGGCTCAACACCACACAAAACGCCACGTCTGCCATCGTGGCTCTCAATGCTTGCTTCACCGGCAGTCAAATGCGCCTTCCCAGTTACATTTCCACCGCCGTTGAACCGAGACCGTGGTCGATTGCCGCAGCATCAAGTGTCTCCGATCCCGCGGGCCGACGCCGGAGTCGCTGCGGAGGCCAAAGCTTACCCACAAAGTCCTTCATGGGCGGATGACAGACCTCTTGATGGACTCGAGGGACCTGCCTTTCGTCTCCGACATGTATGGCCGGAGAACCAACTTTACGTTGCCTGCGAAGGAATGGCAGGCTGGCGAGTAGGCTTGCATCTGAGAACAGCTCCGCCGGAGCTCACGTCGAGCTGCGCCACGTTCAGAGCCATGAGTCAAGAAATGCTGGAAAACGAAGCAACGGCGATGTTATGACTGCATTGGCTGCCGGCTGTCGTGTCCCCTGCGCATGACCCGCTCCACCAGCTCGACGACGCGGTTGGGGTTGTTGGGGTTGTTACTAAACATGGTGGTGTGTGACTTGCGTGGGCGTTGGCTCCTGCGTTGGAGGAAATGGCGGTTGCTTGTAGCAGGGCTGAAAGTTGAGTGCGGACAGTCTACGGATCAACAAGACTTTTCTCGGTGACGTTGCGTGAGTTTACCTATCCGTCTATATATAGGCTCAACATATTGTTGCAAGCTTGGACGGTTTAACTATACCAGCATGTCGAGAGGGTAGATCGCTCATCATCTTCATCCTACAGAGTTGGAAAGTATATCAAATAAAGACTAATGTTTTCCATTGACAAATTAATATCAAGAGGTGAAATCAACAAGCTACGTAGACATACTGACAACCAACACTCCAGCCAAGTACCGCCTTACACTTGTCGATCCCAGCAAACAGTTGCTCATCTTAACAGGCTCGTCATGAAACAGCCTAGCTACACTCCATCGGATAAAATGGGTCGGTACGCTGCAAGATTCGGGGGTTACTGGACAGAGATGACGCCGTTGACGCTCTTGACGCTCGTGTTCGCCCGAGGACCCAAGTCGACGAGAAGAGCGAGTTGGAAAACTGGGATATAAAGGAAACACTTGAGCGTGTATAAAGGGTCTGCCATCAAATGATTGGAGTGGTGTTACGAGCCTAGTCGTATGCCGTATGTTAAGCTGAGCTTTAGTTGAATCAGTCGAAGTAATCTAGAGCTTCCCATTAACAAGCCTGACGGGGAACTCTCATTGTAATATCTACTCCCTCCATCCTGAGGTGTATCTAGATCATATATAGGCGGATGGCCAGGCAAAGAATAATCCCTCGACAAGCGGGAAACAATTTCGGTCGTTAACGGGCGTTAGTAGTCACTAATGTAGAATAAGGCTCGAAATGGCGGTCCGGGGGGGGGGGAGACAACGAAGACGGACGCAGCCATGAGCATGCGCAGTATCAAAGAAGCGCAAAATCTCCGGCTTATTCTACTGCAGCTTCGACAGTCAGATAGAGAGTATATACTTAACTTTGGATTGACAATTCGAAACGAAAGACAGGTGAGAGTAGTAAACTGGTCGATCCAAAGTTGAATAGCTGGCTTCTCTACGGCGACGGCGGACCCTGGTTCGTCTACTGCTGCCACCGAAACAGCGTCTTCTTCGAAAGCGAGCGCCGTATCGCGTACCCTGACGCCAACTAGCACTGGCCCTCTTACTGATACGTCTGCCTCTGGCTCTTCTGCTACCTCGGCTGCCACCTCCTCGCCCGCGGAAACTGAAATCAATTTTTTCAATACAGTGTCTCCCTTTTCTTCAGTAACTAGCGCAATACCGAATACTCTGACGTCGACCGGTCTTAGTTCCGCTGCTGGAGAATCAACTGCGGCTGGTTCCTCTGCTACCACGACTTACTTCAACGGTCTCTTCTGGTGCAACGACTGCTATTGGTCACTCTACCATTCCCGACTCCTCTGCTACCAGGACCGCCTCTGACTCTACAGCTGCTGCTGATTTCTCTGAAACTCTGATTCCTCTGCGACTAGCACCGGTGATCTAGGTATCGCAAAATGGACACGTGTTTCTTCAACAGGACATGAGCCGCCGGGGTCAACGACGACGCTTTCTCTAGCGACCACGCAAACCATATTGCCCCACGCTCTGCTGCCTAGGCGATGTGTAGATCAACTGTTCCTCTTCAACTTTGGCGGGAGAGCTTCAAGCATTTGTTGGCCTTGTCCTAGTCGACGATGAAACGAGGTTGAAATCAAAGACCAGACCAGGAAGCCAGGGCAAACAGACGGTCACATGACATGTCCTCGATTGCATCTACCGAGTCCTGTGTTAATATTATGTACTTGACGGCTTCGTGTTTCCTAAACCTCCATCTACCTCGGCATGTCGTCTGTTCAGAATAGGACTCTGTGAGCTTCATCACCCCATCGCCATCTTACCTCTGACAAGTTCCCATTCCCACCCGCCTGTGACTCTCGATCTGTCGAAGTCGATCACAGGGTACCTCGCTCCGTGATTCCATTCTATTGTCCTCGCCAACACAGCCAACACAGCCATGACAAGCCCACTGAAGGAGCAGATCGTTCTCAAGCAAACCTCGACCAGTAGTTACACTGTTTCGTGGCATGTCAACTGGACTGTGGGCAAGAGTAAGTGAATCAAGATTCATCCACGCCTGGCTAACTTGCTGTTTCAGCTCCGATGGGTGGCTGGGTACAAGTTGGGCCCATGAGAGCCCTGGAAAACCCGTCGTAGTGACCGACTCGGTGGCCGAGGCCATGCAGGCAACGACGTTCAACGCCGCCGTCACCACGGTTATTGAATATAAGCGAAGGCTCCCCGACGACGGACAGCGCTGGATCTTCACGCGGGCTGCCACCAAGATGCTGCAGGACGGGAGAATGGACCTCGATGTCACCATGTTCAATGAGAACATAGAGCTGCTCTGCACCGCCCATCAGCTCATTCTGGTTCTCGAAGCCCAGAGAAAATTCCACAAGGCAAAGTCGGCGCTCTAGAACAGACATCCCTGGGACATCCTTACTTGTTCATCATGCTCTTACTTGGATTCATTCCATCCGGATGCCATCATTGTGCCTTGAGCGCCACTACGAGACTGCTCTCCTGTGAGAATGGCTAGCCTTCTCATGAGGAGATGCGTGACTGGCGTCCGCGGTGCACCCCTCACGCCACCCGTACTGGCGGCAAGTTGTCCAGTGTCAGCTGGGAGCTTCGCTGGGTAACGCCAAACCATGCAACCGCCGTTGCAGCCAGCGCATAAGCCAACTACTTATTGGTCGCGTGCACTGCAGTTGACAGCGTAATTGTACAAGGACTGGAAACAACCTGTCGACTGAATTTATGACCGGCGAATCACGTCCCCTTAACGCCTTGAGCGCCAAGCCGGTTCTTATTATGCTTGCCTGGTTATCTCTTTAAAGACCCTCTTTGCCATCCACGTTGGTTGTTTGTCCTGCGTAATGGTGACACTAAATTAGTGCCCTCGCTAATGCAGAAGACGTGACTTAAATCTATAACCTCATAAGACCGTGCTAAAGAAAGAGCACCTTCCTTATAACGGTAAGTATGACTGCGTGAATAAGTATGGAGCTGAAAATACTAATAAAAATACATGTAGGCATATTGAGCGGGAGACATGGCAATAGGCCAGCTCGAGTGAGTATCCTACTACCCTAGAGCCCGGATGGAAGAGAGCAAAGAGGTCGGGGCATCGGGGCATAGTGAGCGTCTGTTCAATGGGAGCGTTGCTTTGAACGTTCCAGTTGACTTATATGCGGGATCTCTGCAGGCGATGTATTTTATTGTAAACGACATCACGATAGTTACTCTGGGCATGACGCTTCGTATCCTGCATACCCCGCGTTGGATCCCGACTCCGGGAAGCGGAGGTCGACCGGCTAGCCATCCGACAGTATGGCAACCGTTGCCAGCCCAGCCCAAAAGCGGGCTGTTCCCCACGGCGTGTCACCGTCCCGCCTTCGTCGGCGGTGCAAGGAAGGGCATATCGTATCTTGCAATGGCGAGCTTTCGGAATGGCAAGATGGCCTCCACAGCCTGCAAAAGGTTGTCTGCGCAGTCACCTTCGGGGGCCTCAGTCTTGAGGGGCAGCAGCCTCTCTCATCTCAAGCGAGTCGGCCCGGACAAAGACGCGCCCCCCCTTTCCGTCCTTCCTACCGGCCTTCTCTGCCGCTCCCTCGTCGCCAGCGCCGTCACTTCCACGCCGTGGCTGCTCACGCCCGCCATCTCTTTCCTCTCGTACATCTGCCGGCCCCGCCGTCCGTTCCTCTTGGACGTGCGGCGTAACCGGGCGCTCGCGTGGCTCATGAAGCAGACTGTGTACAAGCAGTTCTGCGCGGGTGAGACGCTCGCCGAGACGCGGGCTACTATGGGCCGCATGCGGGACATGGGCTTCCGCGGGACTATCATCACGCTTGCTACGGAGACGGTGTTCGACCACGGCAAAAACAGGGTCCACGGGCTGGGGGTCGAGTCGGGGGCGGACAAGAGAGCGGCGATATGCCCGGCCATCGCGTCGTGGCGGAAGAGGATCCTCGAGGCGGTCGAAATCCTCAGCGAGGGGGACCAGCTGGCCGTCAAGTCTACACTCCCTGCTGTCACCCCCCCGTGAGCGGTCGCTAACAACGGCTCCAGGATAACAGGAGCTGGGCCGCTTGTCACAGAGGCCCTCGCGGCCGGCGAGCTCCTGCCGCTGCAGATGCTCGACGCCCTGGACGAGATCAGCACCCGGTGCAAGGCCCAAAAAGCGCACATGCTCATCGATGCCGAGTCCCAGCTCTACCAGCTCGGCATCCTCCGCGCGGGCCTCGAACTGATGCAAAAGTATAACCGCGACGGCCACACCGTCATCTACAACACCTATCAGGCCTACCTTAAGAGCACGCCCGCCTCCTTGGCCGAGCAGCTGGCGGCCGCGCTGGACGGCGGCTTCACCCTCGGGCTCAAGCTCGTCCGGGGCGCATACCTGGCCACCGACAAGCGCAGTCTCATGCACGACAGCAAGCAGGACACGGACGACGCATACAACGCCATCGCCCTCGGCGCGCTGCGGCAGTGCCTCCTGGGTTTCGGAGGAACGGACGAGGGGGCCCGGCCGTTCCCGTCTGTGAGGCTCATCCTAGCGAGCCACAACAGGGAGAGCGTGCTCGCAGCGCACAAGTTACACACGCAACGCTTGGAGCAGGGCCTAAAGACGGTGCCGGTCGTGTTCGCGCAGCTGCAGGGCATGTCGGACTCGCTGAGCTTTGGCCTACTGCGGCTCGGCGGCGCGCCCGAGGTGTACAAGTGCTCGACGTGGGGGAGCCTAGACGAGTGTCTGGGCTACCTGGCGCGCCGGGCGGCGGAGAACAGGGACGCGGCGTCGCGGACGAGGGACGAGTATGCGGTGCTGAAGGCGGAGGCGTGGAGGAGGCTGAGGCGGGTTTTCGCGACGGGACGCTGACGAGTACTGGCACTTATTCCATCGCAAGATCACAAGACTGAGGTCCCCGCAGTTCAATTGACACTTCGAGTTTCCGTGCCTTTCCCTCGCAGATCATGTTGCAATGACGGTTGCGAGCTGGTTGGGCTATGTCGAGATTCGAGAAGGTCAACCGCACCAGGTAGGCAGACCGCTGCGAGGAGGATGTGCATCCGTAGGCGGCACGACAAACTCGGAGCTAGGATTCCTCGGCGCCTTGAATCTCGCCAATGATTTATCTCGTGTAGTTTGGCCGGCGCTGCTGCTCCGCTGAAGCACGTGCATTAGCTCTGTCACCGGCGACGAATGCCGTGGGAACCCGGGATCCGGGGGGGGGGGGATGCGCACCCGCTCCGGCCCGCCAATTGCGCGACGCCGGGTGAGCCGGGTGGGCCGGCGAATGAACCGGGTAAGCCGGGTGAGCCCCGCTGGTGCGTGTCGCGCGCGGCTGGGTTACGACCGGTCATTTGCCGTAATGAATGGAGACCAGGTTTTGAAGAGTATTATGGCTGCCAAACATTGGCTGCTGTGATTATAAACCCGGCCTCGCGAATAGTTGCCCAAGGGCCGAAAAATCTACCCCGCACTGACTCGGGAACAGCCGCCCCTAGTAATTAATTACGGGGCGACTAATTAAGAGCGCTAAGCATTTGCCTCCGCTGACAAGCATATTGTGGCACTCAGTTCTTAATTGAACATTACAAATCGAGCAAGGGAGTATTAATACTGTGCATACACTGTGCTAAGTATAGCTAACGTGTTTGTATAAAGCGCATGTCTGCTTCTATTATTCACGCTGTCAACACAATTCACTGTATCGACACTATTCATTACATTGATACTTGCAGCTCTACATCTGCCCAAACAACGTTGTTTGCGATACAAAATGGCTATTTATCTGATTACAGGCGCGAATCGAGGTGTTGGCGTAAGTCCCCAAACCCACGTTCCATCCAACGCCATAGGAGACACAGTTCCTCATTTCGTCAACCTTACATAGCTCGAGTTCGTACGTCAGTATTCCAGCGATGCCAAGAATACCGTGGTTGGCTTGGTGAGGGATAAAGATGCAGCCGAAAAGAATGCTGCATCGCTGTTTTCTGGTCAATTGAATGTCCATTTTATCGAAGCAGAACTTACAAAATACGAATCTTTGAAGGTATTATACAAAACCAGCTCAGCCTTTCTCTGTTCGTTTACCGATGCCTTCCATTAGAAAGCGGCTGCGCAAACGAGCCGCATCACCGGCGGGAAGCTCGATTATGTAATCGCCAATGCAGCCATTGTTTCTGAATGGTCAGCATTTAGCAGTCTGGAAGAACTGTATGCATTTCCGGCCTTTTAGTTTCTTCTCTTCCAGTGTGCTAACTTCATGGCTAGTGGCAGAGACCCAGATGGGCTTGAACAGGATCTGGCTGAGTCCTTCAACGTCAACGTCATAGGCAACATAAACCTCTTCAACTTATTCCTCCCGCTTGTTCGGAAAGGGGGGGCCAAGAAGGTCATTACCATCTCCTCTGGTATGGCAGATCTGGATCTCATCAACAACTATGACCTTGAGCTGGCAGGGCCGTATACCATCAGCAAAGCCGCGATGAATGCTGCCGTTGCCAAGTACAGCGCCGTGGGCCGGAAGGAAGGCATTTTATTCATGTCCATCAGTCCAGGCGTCGTGGAAACTGGTCACCATTCAGAAGGTACCAACCATTTCCCCCTCTGAACCACGTAAAATTGGCATCTTTGCTGGAGCTGACAGTTTTATTTAGCCACAGAAGAGCAGCTGCAAAGAGTGGCAGAAATGGGCAAAAAGTTCGCCACCTATGCGCCTCATTTCACCCGCCCCCTTACGCCGGAGGAGTCTGTCACTGCTATCCGCGAAGTTATAGTCAAGGCAAGCATTGAGGCAGGCAGTGCCGGGTCGTTTGTTTCGCACCTAGGAAATCAACAGTGGTTATAGATTAACAACGGATATGTATTACAGTCCACCATACCTTCAGGATTAGAAAATTGATGGGATCCTTTTGAAACGGTGGCCTAGGGAAAGATCAATTGATAAGACTGTTTGCGCATGTGGGTATATGCGCCCGGGTCCATTTCGGAGAGACCAGAACGAGAGACTCTCTCGTTGTTCATCATAAACGGGATGGTCTTAGAGAGTTTGGCTGCGTCACTACTGGACTATGGTCGTCTCGCAAATAGTAACGTCGGTCGGTTGTTGCAAATTCCCCGCCGCCCCTCACCTTCTTTCGCTTTTAGCAAGCCCCTTCCCCTCTTGGCCCGTCGCTATATCTAGGATTGCGATGAGAACACTGTTACGACCACGGTCATCGGGCCGCAGCAAAGCCGGCCGCGTTCACGTGATAAGACGGCTCGGAACAAGGGTCGGGATAAGAGGTCACTTATGCTCGGCTTACCTAGAGCGTATATGAGCTAAGTAAGCCTTATATAGATAGATTACTACTTAAGAGTATACCTTATAAGTAAGCTATAGTAAGCTATAAGTGTAACGGGCAAGCCGCTTTAACGGCGGCTGCGCCGCCTAGCTTCTAGAACCTTCCATTGGCTCGAAGCTATAAAATGCTATTGTGCTCTCATGTAGTAGATTCTCTTTCTTTCTTTCTTTCTTCTCTATCTTGATAGTAAACAGCATAGGGACTAGTTAGTTGTATCAACTCACTAGAGGCCTTTCACATACTATCAAGATCACTGAAGACATTGAAGACACTGAAGACACCGAAGACACTGAAGACACCGAAGACACCGAAGACACTGAAGACACCAAACTGAGTCCCGTCGAACTATTAGCGTTCAGCGAAGTCGCGATGGCCGAAGATAACAACAACATGCAGCCGGACGTCCTCAGCGCCCTGGTTGCCGAGATACGAAGTCTGAGAGAGAGAGTTCCCGAAGAAACACCCAGTTTGAAGAACGTTTTATTGCCCTGGAACTCCAACAACACCAGCAAGCCCGTTCGTCTGAACTCCTAGAGCCAACGCCATCTGTCACCCCGGCTGTCCCCATTGAGGACACTCGTGTGGTCGCCACTCACAACCCTCACCCAACCAAGCGCCCCAAATTACGAGACATACCGAAATTCGGCGGCGACAAGGCCCAGTGGCGAAGCTGGAAACTAGAAACCGAAGGAAAGCTACGAGTCGACAAAGAAGCCCTTGGAGATGCAGAAGGCCACTTTATGTACATCTTCATGAGCCTAGAAGGCAAGGCTAAAGACAACGTGACCACATTTGTGGAGATGCAAACCGAGAAGAAAACGTTCAATGTTGCTGAACTACTCAACCGCCTCGAATTGCTGTACGGGGAGAGGGATCGCAAGCAGAGAGCTACACGCAACCTGCATTCGATTAAGCAAGGAGAGAATGAACCGTTCACGTCCTTTACCCCCGCTTTGAGAGGAGATCGCCAATGCCAACGCCGAGTATTGGCCAGATGACAGCAAGATTTCCTACCTCCAGGAGGCACTAAACGATAAAATGAAAGCAGGCCTCATAGGCTCTGACCCTCTGCCATCAGCAGCTATGTTGGGCTGGCGAGGAGGTGCGATTCGCTGAGCAGCCAGATGGAATTGTTGGGTCAGTGGAAAAGGCCTCGAGGCAACACAAAGAGTTCGGACAACTATGACAACCACCAGAATCATGGAGGCCAGGCTGCCCAGAAACAGCCTGGCCAGAAAACCGAAGTTAGACGAGAGGATATGATGGAATGGGAACCAACTCTACAAGCATCCGCGAAAGTGAACGCTGCGCGCACCCGCAGTGATAAGAACACATATGGTTACCAATCCAAGCGACCAGAAGACCAAGCGCTGTTGGGCAAGCGTGCCAAGTGGGTCGACCAGGCCGAGATGGACGCCCGTTACCGTGAAGGGCGTTGCCTCCGTTGTGGAAGAGACAACTGCAGAATCGAGCGCTGTCCATTGGCTGCGCCTATCCGACCCGCAAACACGACCCGACGCACTCAGGTCAATGCCGTGACCCCGTCACGACCAGCGGTCACTAAAGCCGAGGTCGCCGAAGACGATACTTCTTCTCATAACGATGAAGATTCAGACTAGGGACACGCGGCGGCTGTGAGAGAATGGGATGTGAGCGGAAAAGCAAAAATGGACGGAGAACCGTTCATAGCAGACGTCAGGGTGAACGGCACAGACTTCGTGCCATCTCTTGTCGACTATGGCTGCCTCTGCTACGGCGCGGTTAGCAAGCGCATTTCACTCTCTCCAGTTGCCACATATACGCGTCCAGCCGCGCATCTTGGAGAATGCAGCGGAGACGGCAAGGAGGTCAAAATCGACAAGATCACGTATGTGTCGATCGACCTCGATGGACATCAGCAGCATCGTGTTTTCATGTACGTCATCGACGATCTGAACTGGGATATGATCCTGGGTAAACGATGGATGGAAGACCAGGATGTTCACATCCATGCGAAGGAAGGATATCTCGAGATCGGGTCCAATGGAGTTCAAGTACGAGACCGACGACGTTACCAGCCTCCACAGCTAGATGTCTCTAATGTCATGGCCGCAACCTTTTAGCAGAAGCACGCCGTGACAAACGCAAAGGCGGCATTGGAGTTCACTCGGTCACGATGGCGGATATTGACAAGGCCCTAAGACCGAAACCGAAGACTGACGTAATGGAGAAGCTGCCACCACAGTACCACAAGTGGTCTCGAGCTTTCTCTCAGCAACTGGCCGACCAGCTGCCCCCTCATCGGCCAGGTGTGGACCTGAAGATCGAAGTGCTGAAAGACGAGCATGGCCGAGAGAAGCCCCTACCCTGGGGACCGCTTTACAGCATGTCCCGCGAGGAGCTATTGGTACTACGGAAGACTCTCACAGAACTACTCGACAAGGGATTTATTAGAGTCAGCAGCTCGCCAGCCGCGGCACCAGTCCTTATGGTGAAGAAGCCCGGCGGAGGCATCCGCTTCTGCGTGGATTACAGAGGTTTGAACCATATAACGAAGAGGGACCGCTATCCCTTGCCCTTACTGAGCGAGACCTTGCGAACGATAGCCAAGGCAAGGTGGTTCACCAAGGTAGATGTTATAGCAGCGTTCCATAAGATCAGGGTCGCCCCGGCGACGAGGAAAGACAACTTTCAGAACGCGCTATGGATCCTTCGAATGGCTGGTAGTTCCATTCGGCCTGACAGGCGCACCAGCAGCCTTTCAGCGGTACATTAACAGCGCGCTCCAGGATTACCTAGACGATTTTGTGTCAGCATATATCGACGATGTCCTGATCTTCTCCTCTGGAAGCCTGCAAGACCACCGCGACAAGGTCGGCAAGGTCCTCCAACGACTGATGGACGCCGGGCTGCAACTGGATATCAACAAGAGTGAATTCGAAGTCAAGGCTGTGAAATACCTTGGGTTTATCATCGAGGCGGAGTGTGGGATCCGAGTCGACCCTGAGAAGGTTGAGGCTGTGAAGGAATGGGCAACCCCGACGAATGTTAAGTCCGTGAGGAGTTTTATTGGATTCGCGAACTTCTACAGGATGTTTATGCCAGAGTTCTCGGTGATAGCGGAGCCGCTAACGCGGCTAACGAAGAAGGACGTGCCATTCCGTTGGGATGAATTGTGCGAAGAAGCCTTCGAAGCTCAAGGACTTGTTGATCACGGCCCCGATCCTTGCACACTTCCATCCAGAAAGGGAGACTATCGTGGAAGACGCTTCAGGATTCGCGTCGGGAGGCGTGCTCTTGCAGAGAGATGATAAGGATGGACTGGTACGACCTGTCGCATACTTCTCGAAGAAACATTCGGCAGCCGAAGCGAACTACGCTATCCATGACAAGGAGCTACTCGCCATTCTCAGATGTTTGGAGCAGTGGGAACCAGAGCTACGGGCAGTAGAGCACTTCAAGATCCTAACGGACCACAAGAACCTGAGGTACTTCTACTCGGAAAGGAGGTTGACAGAGAGACAAGTGCGGTGGTCGGAGTTCCTGTCCAGGTTCCAATTCGAGCTCGAATGGAGGCCGGGCCGCAAGGGCGGATTGCCTGACGCACTCTCGACGGGACCAGGATATGCCGGCCAACTACTCCGATGAACGACTAAAGGGACGCATTATGAGGCTATTCCAAAATGATCACCTTAGAAGGGTCCCAATATCGACATTGTCTACCAACACCGAGGGTGCCCAGGAAATCAACTTCGGAAAAGAGATCAGGATATTTGAAGATGAGGAGTTACAGCAGCTGTGGCACGCCGCACGGCAAGAAGACAAGCTTTATCAAGAACTCACGAAGCTGGTAGCAGATGGAGCGAAGAGTGTGCCAACAGACTTACAGAAGGAGAAGGTTGTCAGCATTTCAGAATGCTCATTAGACAATAGAGGCCTGCTGTGCTTTAGAGAACGCGTCTGGATACCCGGTTCGGAGCCGCTACGTACAAAGATCATCCAGGAAACTCACGACTCTCATATCACCGGACATCCTGGAAGGGACCTCACGTACTCGACTCTGTCGAGACGCTTCTTCTGGCCGGGTGCCGCTAGCGATGTACGTCGGTTTGTGCGCAACTGCGAGGTTTGCGGACGAAACACCATCTGGAGGATACAAAGAAAGGACTCCTAAAGCCGCTCCTATTCCGCAACGCATATGGAGCGAAATTACCATTGACTTTATTACTGACCTCCCACCGTCGGGGAAAGATGGCGCGACGAACTGCATGGTGGTCACGGACCGACTCACCAAAGGCGTCGAACTCGAAGGATTGAACGATATTTCCACAGAAGCGGTTGCAAGAAGACTCTTCGAACGACACTACCCTGTCCATGGCATCCCAACGGCTATAACCAGTGATCAGGGTCCCCAGTTTGTCAGTGGTATGTGGAAAAGTTTCTGTCAGATGCTAGGGATCGAGCAGCGGTTGTCGACGGCGTACCATCCACAAACCGACGGTGCAACAGAACGAATGAACCAAGAGGTAGAGAGGATTCTTCGGATATGGACGAATTATCTGCAGGAGAACTGGTTAGACTTGCTTCCAATCGCGATGGCGACTATTAACGAGAGGAAGCAACCTCCACCGGACTGAGTCCGTTCTTCTTCATGCACGGCTACCACAACGAGCCAATCCAATTAGTTGAGCATCGAAGAACGGAAGACACGACGCAGGGGGAAGCGACAGCGGAGGATTTTATTCAGAGACTACAGGACGCCACGGAGTTTGCGCAAGCAGCGATAGCTATGGCCCAGGAAATACAGCAAGCGCAAGCCAACAAGCACAGGACAGCCGCACCGAGATACGAGCCTGGGGATTGGGTATACCTCAACGAGAAATGTCAAAACATCGCGACCCTGCAAGAAGCTCGATTGGCTACATGCCAAATATCAAGTGCTCGCGGAAGTTAGCCCACATGCCTACAGGTTGGATGTGCCTGGGCGCATCCATCCAGTCTTTCACGTCGACCTACTCCGGCCAGTCCCCGGACCCATTGCCTTCGCAGAAACTCGATCAAGAGAGTGCCCCACCGGTGCTGGTGGACGGCGAAAAGATGTACCTTGTTGAAAGAATTCTGGATGAAAGAATGGAAGGTACGCATAAGAAGGTGCTCGTAAAATGGCATGATTACTCGCAGCCTACGTGGGAACCCCTTACTACTATTCGACACACCGATGCATGGAAGCAATGGAAGAAGCATAAAAGAGTGTCACCTTCTCAAGTCATCTTGCCACAGATTGCCACGACCCCGGAAGAGGAAACGTTGGAAGGAGGAGGTAATGTAACGGGCAAGCCGCTTTAACGGCGGCTGCGCCGCCTAGCTTCTAGAACCTTCCATTGGCTCGAAGCTATAAAATGCTATTGTGCTCTCATGTAGTAGATTCTCTTTCTTTCTTTCTTTCTTCTCTATCTTGATAGTAAACAGCATAGGGACTAGTTAGTTGTATCAACTCACTAGAGGCCTTTCACAATAAGGGGGATTACTAGTTATATAAAGTAATTTATAAAAGACTACTAGGTATATATCTCGCGAAGAGAGATACGAGAAGTGTATATAAAATGCACGAAGGTAAAAGTAGAAGTAAGGGGTCGGACAGGCAGGGCAAAGTTATTTAATTCTTACAGGGGTAGTGATCCTACTTAAAGAAGCTATTAATATCCTTATAACTACCGAGCTTTTTACCGGGGTTTTCCCCTTTATTTTAGCCGTTGCCGGTATATCCGTCTTATCTCTTACTACTAAAGTCTTTAGCCTTAAGGTAATTAACCGAGCGCCTAATAATTTTAGAGTCCTAAGGTAAGTTAATAGCCGCGCTATCTACCTTTCTTCCCTACTAGCTTCTTATTAAGTTACTAGTAAGGGTACGGTTATAAGTCTTTCGCTCTTTTATATATTCTAAGGAGTCGTCGGTAGTAAGTAAGGAGCAGGCCTAATTAGCTATATATTTAAAGGGGAGAATAAAGGTATTATTTTTATATAAATAAAGGGACTAGTAAGAGCGCTTTTATTATTATTATTATTATTATTGTATTTTTCCGTCCAGCGACCTTTAGGTCGCTCAGGTCCCCGAGACGGGGCACAGGACGTGCTGAGCTGCTGGAAGTCTACTATCGCGGAGTAGGCCCACAATACGCGAAACGAAACGAGTACCAATCCGCGTCTCCCTTCCACAGAACGTAAACAATCCACCATTCAGCATTTCATCGGCTCAAAGGCGCTTCTTTGCTCAGCCTGCTGCCCGTCAGCGGGACGTTCAGGCGCGACAGCCATGTCTTTCGTTTTGGCCTCACAGGGCCGGTTCCGAGAGCACCCTCCGCCCGGCCGAGTCGGGTAAGAGAAAATGGGTGTGTGTGCAAACAAAGGGAAGGAAGGAGGAAAGCGGTTGCTGCCGCCTAGTGGCGAGGGCAGATCGTTCCAAAGAACGAGCTTGCCTTCGCCACCTTGACGAACTGGTCGAAGTCTCTGCCTATTGCTCGGTTGACCGCCGCGCTCGGTGAGGTGCCAACCTCATCCGATGTCGCGGCGCGATCTTCCGGCAATAGAAGAGATGCTTTGGTTCTTTTCGTCGACCACATGAGCACGTCAGTCGCGCATCGTCGTGGTTCAACCTTTCGTGGTAATCAGCGAAGTCCCCGTGGTGGGTTCTTGCTGCGAGCAGATGGTGGAGCAGAGGTCGTGGAATGGTAAGTTCTGGCGGGCAGCCAGTCGTGGCATCGAGGTCGAGGACCCTGTACTGTTGGGGTGCAGAAACTTCCCACCAGGCTTTGAATGCGTCTTTTGGTCGCTGCCTAGCGACCTTGCGCAGATATGCCAGCGTCGGGAGAGCGTCTGCAGGCTCGGGTTGAGAGGTTCCTGCCTTTGCTAAGGCGTCTGCCTGCTCGTTACCTGGGATGTTGGTGTGGCCGGGGATCCAGGTAAGAGCGCTTAGCTCTCTCCTTTATAGACTCTAGGGTAGGGATCCTATTTTAAGGTTACTTAAAGAAAAGCTACTTAGTTTAAATAAGGAGCTTAATTTAGTTAATACTTAAGGTAATAAAGGTCTAGGCTTATTCTTAATTCCTATTAGTATAATTAAATAGTTAGGGGTCTTTTTAAGGAAGAGTTTTATAAAGAAACTATATATAGCCTAAGCGATTAAGTTAGGTTACTTTATAAAGGTAGTTAGCGTAAATAGCTCTTTTCTCGCTCTCTTTATTATATAGGCTAGTTCTATATTTCTTTAAAGTAGTAGTTTTTATTTAAAGGGCCTATTTAAGAGGTTAACTACCTTTAAGACTTCTTAGTAGTCTTACTCTTCCTAGTCTCCTAAGATAATATAGTTATATTAATAAATCCGCTTATACCTAGGAATTTTAATAAGAAAGACTCTGCTAAAAGTTATTAAACCTTAATTAAATAGTATTTTTTATAGTCGTTTAACCTTACTATTAAACTACTAGGAAACTCTATCGCCTTATAATATCGCTTACGTTTAATTAAGTTTATTCGCTATAATAGCTTAAATTCTATTTATTAGCCTATTAATATAGCCTTTTATACTTATCCTCTTATCTAGCTTAAAGAAATACTAATCTTAGTATAAGATCTTATCTATTTATAGGGCTTTTTATATTACTTTATACCTTTACTTTAGAATTACTTTAACCTTTAAGTATTACTTTTTAATTATCTTAAGATATAGCTTAACTATACTTTTAACTTAGTATTAAATTACTATTAAGGCTAAGTAGCTATATTTAATATAAAGCATAGCTTAATTTATATTCTTAGAGATATTCCTTAGTAATAAGGACCTAAGCTACCCTTATAGTATAGTAGTTATATACCTAGGAAGTCTACTAGCTATAATACTAAAGTCGGTTTAAATCTAGCTAAGGGTATAATTAATTTTTAGTTAGACTAATAGACTATACTAACCTACTTATTAATTAGCTAATTAGCGCTTTTAGAAGCGCTTATAAATATACTAGTAGTCTAGCCCCGCTATAAGTAGGCCGGCCCGGACCTCGCCTACCTAAACTAAGCGATAAATTCGTTAGGACCTCCCCCTAACCCCGGTCTAGGCCCCCCGACTAGGAAAATAAAAACCTAGGGCCGATACTAGTAACTTAATAAGTATAGTATAAAGCTAGTACGATAACCTAACTACTAGCTTAGCTAAAGGCTAGTATTAATAAAAAATAGCCTACTAAGCCTTATAACGGAAAAATAAAGTAGAGCTTAGGAAGATATCGTTATAGGATGTTATAGAGTAGACCTAAGAGGGCATAGGCTGTGGTCGCGCTACTACCCCCCTCTGCTACGTACGGCGTGTTGCACGCACGCGATAAAAGGTAACGAATTAACTAAGCTACCTAGCTTATTAATTAACTATACTTATTAACTGTCTAGGCAACGCTTAGACTCTTATATAAGATAAGGTTAGGGATAATTATATAATTAACTAATACTATAGATTAATACTATATACCTTATATATATAAAGGAGTTACTTTCTAAGGTTACTTTATAGCGGGGCTAACGCGATTCCGACTAACTAAAATAATACCTACGATAGCTAGCGTAATATTCCTATATATTATAACCGCGACTTAGTATAAGGG